TAAACTATTTATCGATCTACTAAACTGTACAGCACTGTACTATATAGCACTACACTATACATCACTATAGTATGCAGCACTTTACTATACTATGCAGCACTATAATATACAGCAATATGTAATACTATTCAGCACTATATTTACTATACAGCACTTTATTACACTATACAACACTATACTATACAGCACTGTACAATACTATACAGCACTATATTACAGTATACAGCACCATACTATACAACACTGTACTATACTATACAGAACCATACCATACTATGCTATACAGCACTATATTATACTCTACAACCCTGTACTATACAGCACTATTTTATACTATACAACACTATACAACACAATACTATACTATACAGCACTATATTATACTATAATCACTATGCTATACAATGCAACGCTATACCACACTATACAACACTTTAGGTTATTTGCGTATCCTTTACAGGACATTACAGAACCAACCCCAACAGCCCCTGGCTGTTGTGTGGTTTTTCTAGGCAAATTTACATCCAGTAGTTTGCCATTGCCCACTGGACGGTCGGCTTTCTTGATACCAATGTTGAAACCAACGCAAGGTACAGAATACCACACAATAATACATCACCATATTATACAGCACTATACTATACATCACTATACTCTACAACACTACAGCACTGTATTATACAGCACTATACTATACATCACTATACTCTACAACACTACAGCACTGTATTATACAGCACTATACTATACTTTACAGCAATATACTATACTGTGCAGCACTTTTCTATACAGCACTATACTATAACTATAAGTTGGCATCTGTGGCTTAGATGTTGTGAACACGTTTCATATTGCAGAGGTACTGGGTTCAATCCCAGCTGCAGGCTATTTGGCAGCAGACAGTCTAGCATTGGTTTCGACAGTGGTACCCACAACCAGTCATGAGACAGCAGTGGCAAACTACTGATCGTAAAATTGCTTAAAGAAACAGCAGCAGTAAAAAATAATGAGGTGTGTTTTTCAACTTTCTGCAAAGGGTACACAATTGACTTAACAATACTTTATTATAGAGCACTCTACTATACTATACATTGCTCTGCTCTTATATACTATAGTGTACTGTACTATACCACACTTTACTACACTATTCTACTGTATAATCTCATTAAGCATACTCATAATGATAACCTGACCCCCCCCCCCCTTTTCCCCCTAATTTCACCCGGGCAACCCTTTCTACAACCAAACTAAATGGATGTTGAGTGAACTTTATAGCTGTGATTCATGAATGTTACACACATACTGTACACTTCTTGTTTACACAACATATCCACATAACAATATTGTACCCTAACACTTATACAGATTCACATATCCACATTATTGTGTAGGAAACTGCTAGCAAAAACAGACCGAAAATGATTTCTGCTAATAAATTCTCTTCATGCTCCATACATCACGGAAAGTTAATTCACCTTATCTTGCTCTTGTCTGACGCAAAATGCTTTTCCATTAATTTATATTTTGTCTTCTTAACTTTGCCAGTAAATGTTTAGAGATTCTCGCAGCTGTAAATGTTTACATTTTTGTTTTCTTTATGAACACTGCTGCACTTTTGGTCTAATATTATTTTTGACTGAGAAAACTATGTGATTAATTTATCTCTATAACAAAAGGAAATAAATTACTGTACTTTATTGTTATCACGATCAGCATCACTACACATTGGACGTTACCACATGTGCTCAGTCCTCCGATGCAGCAGCCACACCAGTGCACCTCTAATGATTGTCCCTTGAAAAATTGGTGATAAGTCTGCTATCCAGAGAAACTATTGTAGGCTTTTTCAGTTCTTCGGTTGCAGCAAAAATATTTACACCATTTCTCCTATCAGTTTTGGTGTAGATGATTATGCTGAATGATGAATAATTGTCATCTCCGACTTTTTATAACCCCATAAGTGGTCAGTCTTTCCCAGCAGAAGCCAGACTGTGTGTGTGATGATGGTTCTTATTTTAAGTCTGTAAACTACCATTAAAACCATCTTCAGTGGTTGTTAAATCAGTTGTTAATCATCATTATCAAGTGCCATACTGATATTTTATAGTGTTAATCATTTTGAGTCTGTTAGTCTGACAGTTAGTCAAGTCTTAGTTTACCATTCATATAATTGATTGGTCTCTTTTCTTGTACCAGTTATGCACTGTGACCAGACCATTAAGGATTTGTGTTTTCTTTCACTGTCTGCTTTCTCTATTTCCATCATGTTTGCCAGTTGTCACAACACTGTAAAGGTTAGTTTACGTCATACTGTCTTTACTGCCTGAACTGACCACTTTATAGTGCAGTTTGGGTCTAGAGCCTGGACATTTAGGGCCTCTGTCATTAGTACGGTTGCCATGGCCTCTGAAAGCTACAATTTTCTGTTTTCCGTGGATAGAAAAATAAAACAGTCACATTACCTATGGTTCAAACCTGAGATCAAACCTGAGTCTCCAAAATTGAGAGCCCAGCATTTTAACTCCTCAGCCAGCCACTGCTTATTTATCCCTTCATTTTTCCTTATAAACTGCCCAACACAATTTGTCTGCCTATATTTAATTTCTTAGTTTACACTGTTCATCTGTTTCATGAAAACTTTCATTCATTTGAATATGTAGGTTCCTGGCCGCATTGTGTGGGAATAAAGAATAGACCCAACTCCGCCTAACAAGCATGCCGTAGGAGTCGACTAATTAGGTGTGTTTTCTTCCAAGCTGGAGTATTTCTGTGTGAGAGGTGCGGAGCCAACAGTCTGTATACAAAGCCTGATCTTAAAACGGGTTCAAAATCATACTTCTGGAACCAGACCAAAATCCAAAATAGACGAACAATCAGAACCTTTCGCCGGAGTTAACGGTGTATGCAAAAAACAAAATTAGGAAGAATGGGTAGAAACTGGTGAGATTCATTGCAGTTAACATTTACTGTGTATAGCCACCTAACGGATTGATCAAGATTGGAAAAAGTCCCCAGCCAACGATCTGAGACTATTAAAAGTGGCAGCCACTAAGTCTACATTCATCCTTTGTGAATAGTTTGATAAATAAATTAGGATATATTGATTGATAATCATAGAAGGAAGAAGAGAAAGAGGATGTTAATTTGTTTATTTTACTGTTATTAGTTAGAAGTTATGAGTTGGGTTGTCTTTACGGTGCTCTGGACACTCCCATAGGTGCTCAGTTTCCTATTTTAAAATACACATCAGCGGCTCTTAATTTATAGTGCCCTGTGATGGTTGACAAATTTTTTTTTTAAATGAGTATTGTCATGGGCTTGAGCAGAGTTCTTAAACTGGGTGCCATGAGCGTATGCTTGTGTGCCGCAGCAAAAATGAAGAATAGTTTGCTAAAAATTGTGACATTATTAAAAAAGGCATTAGATACTTTAAAGTTAACATTTAAGTTGTCTTTCTTCGCTTCTGTCGAAAAGAGTTTTTTTCCTTGTTTCACACTCAACGTGTATCATACTGTAAAAAAATGCCAACCGCAATGTGCTAAGAACTGTCCTTGTATTTATCTCGAGGTGTGACCGCTCCTCCATCTGTATTTGTGAAGGTGCAGTGAATAAGTAAAGTTGTGATTACATTTTAGCTGAAATTTCTTAAGTGAAAATGTGGTCTGCACAGTAGTAACTGTTAGCCGGGTCAAGTAAGCACTTATATTTATAGGCAAGGTGTTATTTTTTTATTGTTACTTGTGTGTGTGTGTGTGTGTGTGTGTACGTGTGAGAGAGAGAGAGAGAGAGAGAGAGAGAGAGACAGAGAGATCATGCATTTTTTCGTTCTTTCAGTGTGTCTTTGCCCAAATCGAATTTGAAGATATTGCTAACGAGAATATAAAGGGGCCTTTAAATTTCATCGAACGAGCGGCTGCGGGAAAGATGATTGAAATTGAAACTCGGCTGCATTCGTTCCTGTTTGGCTTTGTTTCAGCTGGGAACGAACAGGCACCAGAAGGGCAGCACGTAAACTGACATAGAAGTGTTCCTAACGGTTGCTTGGTTCCGTCCAAATTAAAGAGTCATCTGATTTAGTACTAAATGATTCTGATTTAGTACATGAAGGTTAAGAAATCTTTGAATGTCGCGCCATATGTCTTCAGGAAGGGTAATCTAAAAATAAAATTTGAAAAGGATATAATAACAAATTCACCTCCAAACACTTTCAGCAGTCACATTAAAGACAACTGAACGTGAAATCTGCATCATTTTTTCTTCTTCTTCCCCTATGCGCTTTTTTTTAGCCCCACAAGGGTGCCGCAGAAAACAAGTTTGAGAACCCCTGGGATAAAGGACCATGCCACAGCACAAAATGATCATTGATACAATTCAACTTGCACTGAACTGTGAGCCATTTGCTAGGTCTCTGCAAGCCAAATCTGGGCTGTGGGCTACCATTTGAATGGCCCTGGTGTAGAGGATCAACTTCATTGTGCTTTAAAAAAATACATCCTAGCGCTGTGTTTCTCTCTGCATAATGGCAAGCCACCCACACAAAGCACAAATTCCTCTACTTGGGCAGTCCCCATGAATCACTGTAAAATGGTACTTGAGATACATCAACAAAGTCTGTAACAAACCCACAACCTTCAGAGTGCAAAGCAAACAGCTTTACTCTTTCGGTACCAGGAGATTTTGCAGGAGAGGCCAGAGTGAAAAATTAATCATTAAAAATCATAAACACATTACTTTCAGACTGGCAGTATACGTATGGGTAGTCACCCATTGGAAAAGCCAGGTTTCTTAAATATGCTGTGATCGAATGTTAGAAATAAGAGAACACAACATGCTATGGTGAGATATCAAGGGGTAGAGTCATTCACACATTAAGTATTGCCTGGGACTTAAAAGAATAACCTCTTAACCTTAGAAATCTTTATGCATGCAGTGTAAGTCGCTTGCATCTGAGAGAGTTTATAAGTAAACACATCTCAAAATCACTGTTTGTATGCCAACAGGGGCCAGTCCAAGCCAAGTTTGAAAAGATCCAGTCTGGGAGTCTTCCACCCAAAATTACCCATGTGTCATCTGAGGCATCACCACAGGATAGATTTGTGAGTACAACTTTTGGTTTGTTTTATAACAAAATCATTTTGAGGCTTTTGAGTCTGTTAGTCTGACATCTCATTTTGATAACAATAATCATTTTGGGGCTTGTGAGTACAACTTCTAGTTTGTTTTATGACATTAATCACTTTGTGTCTTGAAGGTACAACTTCTGGTTTGTTTTATTACATTAATTGTTTTGATATGTGTGAGTACAACGTCTGGTTTGTTCTAAAGAATTAATCATTTCGAGGTTTTTGAGCCTGTTAGTCTCACATCTCATTGTGATAACATTAATCATTTTGAGGTTTTTGAACCTGTTAGTTTGACATCTCATTGTGATAACATTAATCATTTTTAGGTTTTTGAACCTGTTAGTCTGACATCTCATTGTTATAACATTAATCATTTTGAGGCTAGTGAGTACAACTTCTGGTCTGTTTTAAAGCATTAATCATTTTGTCTTTTTGTGTATGCAGTCTATTAGTCTGACATGTCACTATAACGTTAATCACTGTGAGATTATTGCGTCTATTAGTCTGAAAAGGTCTTTTTGTGTGTGTGTTTTTGTTATAGCAATAATTGTTACAAGTTAACTGAGTCCGTTAGTCTGAGACATGTTTGTTTTATATTGTTAAATCATTGCAAGATTATTGCATCTATTTGTCTGCTTTATAGCATTAAAAGTTGCAAGATTATTGAGTCTTTTAATCTGACTAGTCAGTTTTATAGCACTAATCATTGCAAGATTCATCATCATCATCATGAGTGTGCCATAAGACGTCACATAAGGCTCGCATTCAGTTTCTCCACTCTGCTGTACTCCATGCAACCCTCTCAGTTTCTGACATGAAGTTCAGCCCAATGCTTTTTGCTTCTCATAATATTGTTTTTCTTAGTGTTTTCCCTGGATGTCCTCTTTTTCTCAGACTGTTTGTTTCCCATTTTAATGCTTGTTTTGTAATTCTTTGCTCATGTCGTCACAGTGATTGATTTTTGATTGGCACCTTTCTGTCTTTCCAGACGATAATGTTATATTGTGCATGGGACACACAGCCCACGCTAAGATAGATCTTCCATAATTAAAGCGTGGGATTTCAGGACTGTTGTCAACATTTATATTTAGTGTATTTCTTTTCAAACACTCAGTTCTTATCCTTTCTGCAATAATTCCTTCTTTCTTTCTTCATTCTTTCTTCCTTCATTCTTATTCTCTTCCTGATGTGCCCCCTTCACTCAACACGGTCCATGGCATTTTGTTCGCATGAGTCCAAGTTAATACTGTATCATTCATATCCCACTTGGACATCTTTTTATACTTGTAGAGGTCGGCTTCGATATCTTCTTCTACCCTTCTTTAATTCACCATAGAGGATGTCTTTAAGGACTCTGTCATCTTCCCTTCTCTTGGTGTGACCCAGCTACCTGAGCTTTTGTAGACTGAGTATTGAGAAAACTGTTGTAATACCTGCTCTTTCCAGTACCTCAGTGTTTGTGATTTTGTCCTGCCATTTCATGCCAAGCATTCTTTTTAGGCATCACACGTGAAAGAGTTGACCCAGTTTCACTGCTATAAAGCAGAGTGCTGAGAACACAAGCCTCATACACAAAAGAATTTTTGTTTTAATTGTGAACTTTCTGTTCTCCCAAACTCTTTTTGTTAATCTGCTCAATGTTGTTGCTGCTCTACCTATCCTGATGTTGATTTCTTTGTCAAACAATAGTTTGTTATTCACTGTGCATCCTAGATAGATAAATGTCAACTGTCTCCAGCTCTTCACCATAAATTTAGACTGCAGGTCTATCATTAACACCTTGACCATAATATCGTCTTTTTGTTGATTGTTAGTGCAGATTCACAGCATGCATCAGCAAATACAGATAGTAAACATTGCAACTCCTCCTCTGAGTGGGTGGTAATTGCTTCACTCTATTGTTGATTACTAATTCCTCTGATGTTACACCATCAAAGTTGACCGTACATTTCATACCTGTGTGGAATGACTCAGTAATGCTCAGTGGGGTAGGTGGACATCCAGTCTTCTTCAGTGTGTGGAGCAGACCTTTTCGACTACCAAAATCAAATGCAATAGTAAGATCAATAAAAGCAATATACTGTGGTTGATTTTGTTCACAGCATTTTTCCTGCATCTGTTGTAATAAAAATGTCATATCAGTGGTAGATGGGAAAGCCACGAAAGCCACACCAGAACTCAGGGTAAACCTGGTCTCTTAGGATCTGTAGTCTTTGCAGAACAATTCTCACAAGTACTTTTTTAATTGTACACAATATTTATATTCCCCTGTAGTTACTTTAGTCACTTTGATAATCCTTGTTCTTATACATAGTTATGATGCTTGAGTCTTTGAAATCTTGTGGAACCTGTCCCTCTTGCCAGCTGATGAATGTGTGGGGTTAGAATGTCTTTCCCACTCCTGATGATCTCAGTAGGAATTCCATCTCTGCCTAGGGCCTTTCATGAAGCCAGTTCCTCAGTAGCATTCCTAACTTCTACAGTTGTTGGAAATGTGTCCATATGGTCAAGAGGTAGTAGTGTCTTCATGACATTAAGAGCACTATCTGTTCATTTAGTCTCAACTGAGTACAGCTCCAGATAATGTTCCACCCATCACTCCAGCTGCTTCTTCTTGTCATTAATAATCTCCCTTTCAAACTCTTTATTGGTGCACTTTTTTAAATAGTTGGGCTGATGGCCTTCTTTATCCCCTCATACATGCCTCTAAAATTACCACTGCTGCTAGCATTTTAATGCCTTTGTGTAACTGGATCAAGTAGTTGTTTGGCACACTATGAAGCTATCTTTTGCAAATGATTTTAGCTTCTCTCAATTCATTGTGAGTGTTCCTTGTTGTTCTTTCTTTGTTTCTGAGGAGTATTAACTTGTTTCTGTCAGTTAAGAGTTAGAGTGACTGGCTGTTTGCTTCAGACCAGTCTTTACTTCTATGTTCTCTGATCCCATAGACTGTTGCAGATTTTTTTTTTTTCAAACAGCTTCTTGATTGTATCCCATTTTAAGCTTGCTGTAGAGTGATCCTGGATATCAGTGAAAACACCTTCAAGCTGTTGTTGGAACTCAAAACGCTTTTAGGGTCTTTAGTTTTAGAAATATATAACCTAGGGGTATATTGGGTTCTTGAAGTGAAAAATCTCTTTGATTTCATCTCGTCTCTTTCCTCTCAGTGTGTGTCTAGTTTATTTCCATCTTCTTTGTCTTATTGCAATCGATACAGGCATTTGTCCAGATATTTCTCTGTTCTTCTCATTTAAAAAAATTATCCCAATTTATATTCAAGATTTTTCTCATACATTTATTTTCAAATGCATTTAACTTTCACTCCATAGCTTTGGTAGTTCTACAACTTTCGCTGGTGTATGTTAGAACTGAAATAACATTAAAATTAAAGATTCATATTTTGGTCTTAAAGCTGAGAGATTACTGACAAGATTATTGAGTGTTAATCTGAAAATTCACTTTTTAGTACTAATTTTTTGAGGTTTTTATCTGGTGGGTTTGAGTCCATGAGTCTTACAGGCCGGTTACAACCTCAGTCATTGTGATTCCCCAAAACTGTAATAAGTTTTCTTACTTTTTACATTTTGTTGATGGCATTTTTTTTTTTTTTTAGATAATTCAGTCATCAGTAACTGTTTTGCATCTTTAAACATTAAGATTTTGAATACTTTTATATAAGGTATATTAAAAAAGCTAAAAGTGAAGTTAATAACTGACTATCCTGCAGATTGTCTATGCAAAGCTGGAGACCAGAGATCTGTCCTTTGTGGTGTTTGCAAGTCAACAGACACATGAGGGGGTTAAGCTGACTAATGTAACAGCCAGTGTCCTCCGACTAAAGGGAACGGTAAGTTTATTATGTATTAGCCTATCAAGCAGCAAGTCCTAATCTGTTTAAATCACCACTAATTACTGCATCAGGAGGGCTAATAGACTGCAGTGGTTGGGCCATAGAGAATGACAGATACAGTATTCTGTGCTGTCTCCACAGTGAAGGTTCACTGCCATGTACTATGGCCGTCTTTGGGGTTATTACGGGGTGAGGCCCCCAGTCTCTTCCATGGTCGAACTCTCATACTGTGTGGGTTCTTGGGCCTCATATGAGGAAAACAAGAATATACCCACTGTCTCCCCAACAAGTTTGTCATAGGAGTCGACTAATTGGGGACTTGCTTTGAAGTAGGAGCGCATCTGCCCGAGCGGCAAGGAACAAACATCTGCACCTGCACACAAAGAAGCCAGTAAAATGGATGGACAGGCAAAACTCAGGCCCTGGCATGAAGCCAAAGTCCAAATCGACAAACAACCGGGACTTTCCAATAGAGTTTACAGCCGCTGAACAAACATATGCTGTTTATAATGTATATAAGTGCATTCACTCATTTGCATCTTATTTCTGTTTCCAGATCTATTCTCCCCTCTTCCGAGAAAACTTCCTAAATATTTAAATTAAAGTACCATTCAACCCTATATGTAGTGGAAAAGGAATCTACTGACCTGCATTATTTAAATTTTAGTTGTCTACATTTACCATTAGGCGTAAGATAGAAGTTATCAAGTCAGTGCACTATCTCTGTCTCGGTAAGTCAGTGCACTAATCTTTTTGTCAGAAAGTCAGTGCACTATCTCTGTCTCGGTAAGTCAGTGCACTAATCTTTTTGTCAGAAAGTCAGTTCACTAAACTCTTTGTCAGAAAGTCGGTCTTCCTTGTCTGCATCTTTTCCTGATTTCGTCTACCAAACCCTGTAATATCATTTTTGAGAGGCAGTAGATCTTGTTGCCTGTCTGTACCACTGCATTTTGTATCTTTTTACTGTTATTAAAAAAAATATTTTTGCCAATTTAAAAAAAAATGAAAATATAATTACACCTGGCATTACAGCCAGCAGTTTAAGGGGCAGTTAGCTCTCCTGGGAAGATGGGGGAGGGGGGGGAATCTAGTAGCTCCCTGCTGTCCAGTGGCCGTACAAGCTGATTCCACTTCCCCATGGTACAAGCTGGTTAATGTACTCATGGCGATAGAGGCTGCTGGGAAGGTGGCCTCTTATAGAGGATTAGGCTCTGCCATGGTTGTAATACTGCTTAAGATGCACCATGTTGACTGTTATACGGGATATCTCATAAGTTTCCATGCTTAGGCAAAAAAAAAAACAATGTCATTACAAGCAAAACTCCAGCTTTGCTTATACATGTTTTTCAGCTGTGAAGGGCATATGTCAAAATGGGTTTTAATTTTAAGTTTTTTTGAATGTCTATTTGTGCTGTGTGTGGAAACTAATGGGACACTGCATACGTACCTACAACAGTCTTCGCTTTACATGGCTCTGTCATAGACATCTAGGAGCGTTTAAGTTGTATTTTGATTGTGTGATTGGGGTAAGTAGGTAGGTATTGTACCCCACCAGGACATCACAGAAGCGATAAACGCCCGGTGACACAAAGTGCCACCATGCGGATGAGGATCACCTGTGGAGAGGTCCCTGAAACCCCTTGGTCCCTGAAACCCCTTTCAGCCGTTGGGCCGTATCTGTGGCTAGGCCATATTTATGCCCCGGCTATATTGGGGGCTCCAGGCAGAAGACAGGGTGGGGCTTCAGATAACAGAAATTGCATCCCACATGGAGGCGACTTCGCTTGAACATAGTGTGATCCAGATCATATAACTAACTCCATTTAACTTGACACAGCTGCGAGTCCAAGCATACACAGAAGGTGCAGATGTCAAGGTCAGCTTCAACTTTGAAGGCAAGCCGGAGATAAAGGTTGAGGTCAAGCCATTGAACTCTTACCAGGTCAGTTAATGTTCACTTCCATGCTACTAACTATATCACATCAACGACCTGGTCGCCCGTTGGCTGGCCGGTAGACGACTTTGTCGCTGATTGGGACAGTATTTGGATCATCTCCTTTTATCGCATCCACACTGCAAGAGTATTTTGCAGAACTACTTGGTGGCAAGCAGTGCTAAGCCATTTTATATGGCACACATAACCTATTTACAATAATAGCCTAAAGCTCCCCATTTGGGGATGCTGGTTGAATGTGACTTTTGTTGTTGTTGAGCAACACAACAAAACAATGCAGTCTATCTGCTTACCTATTATCATCTTTTCCAACAAGACACTTAAGACGCTTTGGTCATCCACTGCACCTGGGTCCATTACCAATCCTCTAGACATTGTCCCGCCATTGGATCAAAATGGACACAGGCGAGAGAGTGAGGTCAACGAATTGCACAGCTCTTCCTCACTCAAATCCAAGTCCTTGGGCAAGTCACTTTCATTCAGCTAACTTTGGATGAAAGTAGTCTTCATCACTCATGATGGACGAACAACAACGTCTATTTCAACATGAATGATACCTTGGCATTCTCATAAATTATATGTTAGGTCTTACAAGAAAGATACTTTAGGGTTCCTTGAATGATACTTTAATGTTCACATGAATAGTATCTTGAGGTTCACATGACTGGCACCAATGGAGTTCAGTGGTCAGTCTTCCATGAAGGTGGATACAAGACATTGAAGATGCACTGGCTGTGACAGCACATAGGGCTGGAAAATTGACCAGAGAAAGAGAGACTTTCAGATGTGTCGTGATGAGAATGATGATAGTTTAATGAGAATATTATTATTTTTATTTCTTCTTCTTACAGACCATGCTATGTGGCATTAATAGTAATTTCATGTTGTGTGTTATGATTTGGGTTGTCTTCACGGCACTCCAGACATATCTATAGTTGCTCAGATCCCCTCTTCAACATATACATCAGCGTCCCGTGGTTGACAGTCCCAGTCCTATGTTGGTTGGTCATGTCTGTCTGCAACCTTTTGTCTCATACACTTTCTAACAATTCTGACACAGTTTATCCTACCTACCATGGTGTCAAACTGTGCAGAATCTTTTATCTCAGTCTCCCTTTGCCTCTTTTCCCTTCCAACCTTCCCACTGTCACGATGTACCCCAGTGTTCCTATTTTCATAACATGATCAAAGTATGTAGATTGTCTCCTTCTGATGTGGGCAATCAGTTCTCTTCTTTTGTCACGTCTTTCTCAAGACATCTTCATTGATATTTTTTTCTGTATAGGGTTAGGTTAGTTGTGTATCCTTTACAGGACACTGCAGAACCAAACCCAACAGCCCCTGGCTGTTGTGTGGTTTTTCTAGGCAAATTTAGGTCAAGAAGTTTGCCATTGCTTTCTGGACAGTCGGCTTTCTTGATACCACTGTCGAAACCAACGCAAGACGCAGCTGGGATCGAACCCCGCATCCCGGCATTACGAAGCGTTCACATCGACTTAGCCACAGAGCCGACCTGTACAGGTATTCTCATTATTTGTTTATAAAGCATCACATATTCACCGCTTCCAGATATTTTGTTCAGTAATTGGTAAACTGTCCACAATTCACTTCTATATATCAGAGTAAGGTTTATATAGCTCTTGAGAATTCTCTATATTATCTCAATTGGCAAAGAAAGATTGTGACTTTTAGTATGACCAGCAAGTTCAAATACCATCACAAGCACTACATCTCAGAAGATCAGCAACAAGAGCAAGAGTATGACCGCAGAAAATATGGATCGACAACATTAAAGGACATTATACACCTTCATGGCATGACAATAGCCAGTGGCAGCCAGTGTGCACTGGATCACAAATTATTCCTCCCCATCGCTTAATGGCAGAAGTGGTTTATGATGATGATGATGAGTATGACCATAATATTTGACTTTATATTTTTAAATTTCGGTAACTTTCTTTTCATTCACGTCTATTTAGGACCTTTGTATTAGACTGGGTTTGTTTCCATGAAATACAGTTTTCCTAATCTTCTTAGCTTTCACTATCTGTAAACTTTAGCAGAAAGTTCAGTTGTGTTCTTCCTCTTCTAGACTTATGTCTTGTTCCAGAACTTATCTTTTGTGTGCACATCAGCTTTACAGATCTGCTTACCTGAGTGCAGACTGCTGATTCTTTGCCTCTGAGGCGGATGCACTCCGACTTAGAAGGAAACCTTCCTGGTTAGTCTAGTCACCTTTTACAACACACCTGTTAGAGGGTCTATTTTTTGCCCTCTCAAAATGAGAACTGTGAACCCACACAAGGAAAGTAGGTTAATTCTTCTGTATGTCCACATCTTCAGAAAAGCACTTCAGCTTTCTAACTGCTTGTTTATAGTTTAGATTGCTGCACCATATAGTGGGACTGAGTATGTATAACATTTAACAATTGATATTGCCTTACAACTGAGATGTTATAACTATCCGTCCTCACTGATACTGTTGTTCCCTAGGAAGCGAGTGAGCTTGTTGATCTTGGTGCTTTGGAAGCCAATGTTCGCAACTCCATCATCCTGGCCAAAACAACCTTCGTGGTGACCCACCTGCTCATGCCTGGCGACCTGCAGACTGCTGAGCATGACCGGAAACAAGAACAGGAACGAGGTATCACATTTTCTAACTGTTGAACATATTGTGTGCATTGTTTGGGGTGGGGTGTGGTGTTGTAAATTAAGCTGCTTCTCTGTATAACAAATTTGTTTCTAGGCATTTTTCACTGTATCTCGTCAGGTGCATTACTACAGTTACATCAGCATAGAATGTCAAAACCAACCAAGTGGAAAAAACCCAGCTCTTTTGTAGGATGCCATTTCCTTGATTCCGGACATGTAATTGAAAAGGAAAGCGCCTTCCACGTTATTTACAACACACAGAACACGCAAATTCTGAGATTAGCCAAAGCTTTAACAATACAAATCAACAATACCTTCTTCTTCTTTCTTTTCTTCTGCCTTTCTATCCCCCAATGGAGCATAGGCCCTCAATCAACTCACGCCAAGTCTTTCTATCCTTCGCTATTACATAGAGCTCTCCCCATGCCCTCCCTATCTTTCTAACTTCATTCTCCAGCTCTCTTCTCTGTGTGTTTTTGGTCCTTCCTTTATCCCTATACCCCTGTGGGTTCTAATGCAAAGACATTCTAGTTATGCTGTTCTCCGGTTTTCTCAGTGTGTGTCCTATCCAACACTAACGTTTTTTCCTCACCTGTTGGTCCACTGAAGCTTGCTTAGTTGTCTCCCAAAGCTCTACATTAGTTTTTCTATCATACTATTTAAACATTTCAAGTTTAGGATTTCTTTTAATTTCTTTTCACCTCCACAAATTCCTTAGTGCTATGAAAGCCTCCCTTCTTTTGTTTCTTATTTTAATATCTCTATCAGTTCCCCCATCTTTATCTACATTACTGCCCAAATAGGTGTACGACTCCACGTCTTGAAGTGGGTTGCCATTAAGGGAAACCACATTACTATTTGCCTGATTTATTCTGATTATCTCTGTCTTTCCTTTATGAATTTTCAGACCAAGCTGCTGTGATCTTGCATCTAGTATATTTAATTTGTCTTGCATCTGATTCCATGAATGGGACAAAAGAGAAATATCATCAGCGAAGTCCAGGTCATCAAGCTGTTTTGTAGGGGTCCACTGAATTCCATTCTTGGTGTTAGCAGTTACTGTTTTCATAATCCAGTCTATAGCCAGTAAAAATAGGAAAAGGGACAAAAGACATACCTGTCCCACACCTGTTTTTATTTCAAATGTATCTGTTAGCTTTCCCTTATGAAGAACTCAACAATTCATGTCTTTATATGTTGCCTTTACTAAGTTAATAATTTTATGTGGGATTCCATAGTGTCCCATCAATTTCCAGAGACATTCCCTATCAATGCTGTCAAATGCTTTTTCATAGTCTATAAATCCATTGTAAAGTGGTGAGTTCAGTTCAATGCTTTGCTCTATTATAATATGTAATGTGGCTGTCTGTTCAGTACAGGGTCTGTTTGGCCGAAAATCTGCCTGTTCATCTCTTAGCTTTCTATCAATAGCATCTTTTAATCTTTCCAAAATAACTGTACCTAATATTTTTACAGGAACTGACAGCAACATAATTCCTCTATAGTTTTTACACTCCTGTAGATCACCTTTTTTTGGGTAGTTTCACAAGATATCCTTCTCTCAAGTCTGCTGGTATTTCTTCGGTCTTCCAGATTTTACTAAATAATCTATGTATCAATTTCGTTGCTGTGATATTGACTCTAATGGCTTCTGCTGGGATACCATCTGGACCTGCTGCCTTTCCTTCCTTGAGAAGATTGATAGCTTTTCTAATTCCTCTTTAGATGGTATCTCACAGTTGACATCCAGTTCCATTACTAAATGCTGAATATCTGGAGGAACCTCTGGGCCTGGTCTATTTAAAAGCATTGCAAAATATTCAGCCCCCCCCCCCCCCCTATCCATTTGATCTTTAGTGTTAGTAAGTACCTTTCCTTGACTATTTTTGATTGATCCAGTTGGCTGACTATATTTACCTACTAATTTTGTTGTGTTTCTGTAAAGTTCTCTCAGGTTTCCTTTGTGCTGCTGCTGTCTCTGCTTCTTGTGCTAGATCATTTAAATATTTCACTTTATCTGCACTTATGCTTCTCCTAACTTCCTTTTGGCTTCTGTGTATTTAACTTGAGCTCTAACTATAGCAGCTCTAGTTTTGCTATTGTTTTAGTCTGCCTTTTAACTTTTTCTTGCTTTAGTCAATTTAATGGTTTCTGGTGTTATCCACGCTTTATGTTTCCGTTCTTTCTTCCCAAGAACTTCTACACAAGATTCATTCCAGATTCCTTCGATATGATCCCAGCAGACTTCAGTGCTGACATCTCATCTATCATAAGGAAACTTGAGACTATTGCCAACAAAACTATTTGTCGAATGCTCTCAAACTCAATCCACAACCTGCTCAGATGGTTTCACATTACCTCAATGATAAAAGCTTGCAAAATAGAAAAGAGATGCAAAAGATACAGAAGAAAGCGGAAGGCGGAGGATACAAATGAGAAATGCGATAATAAAGATATTCAAAACAATTTGTTTCCATAGTTAATTTAAAAAATACCTGAATGGCCTGGCAAAGCAAAAACATTGAACTAATCTGTGATTCTGGTGATATGTTAGTGAAACTTACCACATGATGATGATGATGATGATGGTTATTATTTTTTGAACTTTGGAGAGTATTTGCATAAATGAAATTTTGCAAGTTAAATAACAACCTCAGATTACGTTTGTGATAAATACTGAAAAATATTTTGTCACTTTTATATCAATGTGAATGTGTTTTTTTCCAGAACTCAACTTCCAGAATGCTTACCTCCCATCACGAGACATACAGAAGCAACAGAAGCAGACGCTCAGACAGCAGAACACAGCACCCCAGCCTTCTTTTCAGCAGAAGCAGCAGCTGCAGTTAGATCAGGAGATTCAAGTGGCTTCCGTAGCTCCTACTACCAACACGGCCCCACCCATTCACAGCATCTCTGTGCAGAATGAGCCAGTACAGGTCAGTCTTTTGTATCTTCATTGTCTCTTCTTCCTTCTTTTGCTGGTAATAATAGACATACTATGCCAAAAAACCCAGTGTTACAACCTATTATTACCAACCCAGAGTTGCAAACCCAGTGTTACATCACTATGTCTGTGTGGTAGGTGGATCAGAACGTAGGTGGGCTAGTCCAGTATGGCAGCTACAGTTAGATGGGCTGCTGGCTCAAAGGTCACATTTCCATCCATGGAAACTGGCTAAAAAAACCAAATTGTTTCTTAGAAACTGGCCCATAGACAGTATTTGTTTTTCTCTCAGAAACTGGCCCCATAGACAGTATTTGTTTTTCTCTCAGAAACTAGCCCATAGACAGTATTTGTTTTTCTCTCAGAAACTGGCCCCATAGACAGTATTTGTTTTTCTCTCAGAAACTGGGCCCATAGACAGTATTTGTTTTTCTCTCAGAAACTGGGCCCATAGACAGTATTTGTTTTTCTCTCAGAAACTGGCCCATAGACAGTATTTGTTTTTCTCTCAGAAACTGGCCCCATAGACAGTATTTGTTTTTTCTTTCAGAAACTGGCCCCATAGACAGTATTTGTTTTTCTCTCAGAAACTGGCCCCATAGACAGTATTTGTTTTTCTCTCAGAAACTGGCCCCATAGACAGTATTTGTTTTTCTCTCAGAAACTGGCCCCATAGACAGTATTTGTTTTTCTCTCAGAAACTGGCCCCATAGACAGTATTTGTTTTTCTCTCAGAAACTGGCCCCATAGACAGTATTTGTTTTTCTCTCAGAAACTGGCCCCATAGACAGTATTTGTTTTTCTCTCAGAATGCCCCTATAGACAGTATTTGTTTTTCTCTCAGAAACTGGCCCCATAGACAGTATTTGTTTTTCTCTCAGAAACTGGCCCCATAGACAGTATTTGTATTTCTCTCAGAAACTGCCCCATAGACAGTATTTGTTTTTCTCTCAGAAACTGGCCCATAGACAGTATTTGTTTTTCTCTCAGAAACTAGCCCATAGACAGTATTTGTTTTTCTCTCAGAAACTGGCCCCATAGACAGTATTTGTTTTTCTCTCAGAAACTGGCCCATAGACAGTATTTGTTTTTATCTCAGAAACTGGCCCCATAGACAGTATTTGTTTTTCTCTCAGAAACTGGCCCATAGACAGTATTTGTTTTTCTCTCAGAAACTGGCCCCATAGACAGTATTTGTTTTTCTCTCAGAAACTGGCCCATAGACAGTATTTGTTTTTCTCTCAGAAACTGGCCCCATAGACAGTATTTGTTTTTCTCACAGAAACTGGCCCCATAGACAGTATTTGTTTTTCTCTCAGAAACTGGCCCATAGACAGTATTTGTTTTTCTCTCAGAAACTGGCCCCATAGACAGTATTTGTTTTTCTCTCAGAAACTGGCCCATAGACAGTATTTGTTTTTCTCTCAGAAACTGGCCCATAGACAGTATTTGTTTTTCTCTCAGAAACTGGCCCATAGACAGTATTTGTTTTTCTCTCAGAAACTGGCCCATAGACAGTATTTGTTTTTCTCTCAGAAACTGGCCCCATAGACAGTATTTGTTTTTCTCTCAGAAACTGGCCCATAGACAGTATTTGTTTTTCTCTCAGAAACTGGCCCATAGACAGTATTTGTTTTTCTCTCAGAAACTGGCCCATAGACAGTATTTGTTTTTCTCTCAGAAACTGGCCCATAGACAGTATTTGTTTTTCTCTCAGAAACTGGCCCATAGACAGTATTTGTTTTTCTCTCAGAAACTAGCCCATAGACAGTATTTGTTTTTCTCTCAGAAACTGGCCCCATAGACAGTATTTGTTTTTCTCTCAGAAACTGGCCCATAGACAGTATTTGTTTTTCTCTCAGAAACTGGCCCATAGACAGTATTTGTTTTTCTCTCAGAAACTGGCCCATAGACAGTATTTGTTTTTCTCTCAGAAACTAGCCCATAGACAGTATTTGTTTTTCTCTCAGAAACTGGCCCATAGACAGTATTTGTTTTTCTCTCAGAAACTGGCCCATAGACAGTATTTGTTTTTCTCTCAGAAACTGGCCCATAGACAGTATTTGTTTTTCTCTCAGAAACTGGCCCATAGACAGTATTTGTTTTTCTCTCAGAAACTGCCCCATAGACAGTATTTGTTTTTCTCTCAAAAACTGGCCCATAGACAGTATTTGTTTTTCTCTCAGAAACTGGCCCCATAGACAGTATTTGTTTTTCTCTCAGAAACTGGCCCATAGACAGTATTTGTTTTTCTCTCAGAAACTGGCCCATAGACAGTATTTGTTTTTCTCTCAGAAACTGGGCCCATAGACAGTATTTGTTTTTCTCTCAGAAACTAGCCCATAGACAGTATTTGTTTTTCTCTCAGAAACTGACTCATAGACAGACTGCCTCATAAACAATATTGCTTCTCACAAACTGGCTTATAGGCAGTACTATAACTCTTCGCTTGCTGCTGAAGATGGGGACAGAGCACTTATAGGAGTGTCCCGAGTGCTGAGATGTTGATTCTTAATTCAACATTCAACAAGGCAGTAGTATTTCTCAGAAACTGGCATAGACAGCATTGTTTCTCAGAAACTGAAGTATCTCAGCCGTATTAAACACTAAAATGGTTTGGAGAAATAGTCCAGTATGGGAGCTACAGTTAGATAGCCTGCTGGCTCAAAGGTCACATTTCCATCCCTGTGTAGACTCCAGGACCCCATTGTGGGGATAAAGAAGGTCCACTGCCTCCACAAAAAAACATATTATAGGAGTCAACTAATTGAGAACTTCCTTCGCCATCAGAGTGCATCTGTCTGAGTTGCAAGGAACAACCAACTGCACTCAAATAAGTCAGTAAAACGGATGTACACACAAAAATCAGGCCCTGGCACAAAGATCAAGTCCAAATGGGCAAACAACCAGGACTTTCAGCCGGAGCTTACAGCCAGTGAACAGAGAAGGAGAAGAAGAAGAAGAGCACCAGGACAGATATTTGTAATTGGACAGTAGGTGTTTGGAGCTGATACTGCATATGATACAACTATTTTGAGAATAGAGCTAGTGGCAGACACTGCAGCTGTCTGCTAGCTTGAGAACCAGATTCACACACGTATTGTGATTTTAACACTCAAAGCCTGTTGAGAAAGGTTGAGACAGTCATTCTACTTGCAAAATATTAAGCATTGCTTCAGAGATTCCAGTTAGTGTCCTTTGGAATTCTCTACATGCCATGCAGGTGTATTGGGAAACAATAAGCAGTAAATTGGCTGGTTTTGCACCACTTGGTGATATACTGATGTACGCCAAGCTAGATTTGGTTGAAACATTTTGGCAGCAAGTGAACAATGCAGAAGCACCACTAGATCATTACAGTCTGAAGAAATGCTGGAGCAGGGAGTGACCAGGTCATATGGTGGGCACTCTACTCAGAGACAAGGCAGGATGGACATTTCATCAAATTACCACTGGTACCATTGAAATTGGAAGTCTGTACTAGCTGCTGAAAATGGGGACGGAGTGCTAATGGGAATGCCTGAGTGCTGTGATGTCAGTTCTTAACTCTTTTGCTGCTTTTGAACATTAACCCTTCCGGTTAAAATGGACGCTAGACAGCGGCGCCGTTCGGAACAAAGGCAAATTTTTTGCTTCTGCCGGACGGTGGCCGATGCATTTTTGCTCCATTTGTAGACTGGATATAGTTTCGTCGCCCAGCTTCTGAGTTGAATGCATGGCGTGACCCTGTGAGCTGCGGATTGCATTTGGAATGTTTTTTTTTCGACTGTGACCAATGTGGTGGTGTGAATTGTAGATTCAGAAAATGGCGCGATGCCTGTCGTTCAATGCTTGCGGGACCGGTATTAAAATTGATCACGCGGACAACTGCTGATCTGTTGACGACAAGTTCTGCTATCATCAATGATGAACTGCATTTCTAATGTTGGACTGTTTGTGTTAGCACTTCGGATGGCTACCATATGCTTTAATGCGAGTGTATGCTAGATATGCTGAGACAGCAGTCTGTCAATCTTTCCACAAGGGACTGTGATAGATATTCTGAGTGTTTTTCGCTGGCACAGGAGCGGAGCAAAGATGGGGCAACCCGTTTGCTATGAAGCTGAAACTAAGACTACCAGACTACCAGACTACTTTTGCCTCACAAGTGCTAAACAAAAATATTTTTCTTCTTCTTCGCATTCACCGGCTGTTAACTCCGGCAGAAAGTTTTGGTTGTTCATCCATCCCTTGACTTTAGTCTGATTTTGAACCTGAATGTTGCATACACATCTTTTTTTTTTTACAGATGTGACTTATTTGTATACATATTGTAGGCAGATGCACTCTGACTTCTAAGAAAACACTCCAATTAGTTGACTTTTATGACATGCTTGTTGGGGAGCCACTGGGTCGATACTTGTTTTCCCCACAGTGGGGCCCTGGGACCCACACGGGGTTAAACAAAAATGAGTCATGAGCCTGTGGGAATTCCGGAAAACATCTTTAAAAAACACTTTTTGACACTAATCACTAATAAATCTAGAAAAAAATTGTCTGCATAAAAGAAAAGGTTTGCAATGTTTAAAGATACATAAAGGAAACAATCGATAAACGTGAATAGAATTAAGTAGTCAATGGAATACATTTCATGGGGCCTTAACCGTATATATCAGGTGACTTGTGCTGTGACCATGACCTCTATCACTGAGGGTACACAGAAAATAAAACATCAGTATAACTTTTAAAAAAAAAACATAAGTCAACATAAAAACCCTCCTACATGCTATTTTTTAGTATGTAGATTAATATCCTGACCTCCTAAACATTGCACAGACATGAGCATAGACAGCAGCATTAACTATGCACCTCTTAAACCCATTGCATTAGAAAATCAGTTGACATTTACTGGGGATTGACACATGTTGTAATTGTAACAGACTCTGAAAGCCTGCTGAGATAAGTGAAGACAGGTATTCTTTGAGCAGAGTTGCAAGCTTCACTGGAAAGGTTACGAGTAGTGAGCATACTTTGGATCTCTTTTTCCAGGCAATGCCGGCATAGTGGTTAATGAACATGCAGACAGATTGGCTGGATCTGCACCATTGGGTGGTGAATCGATATATGACAAGGCAGATGTGGTCAATGCCCTTTGGGAACAAGCACCAGAATCAGTAGAGAAAAAAGATTATTATGGCCTGGAGAGAATGAGGCACATGGGTGTAACCAGAGGGTCTGGCTGGATGACTACACTCAGAGGAAAAGCAAGACAGACATATAACCAGATTGTGACCAGTATCATCAGTACTGGAACTCTGAGCTGGCTACTAAAGATGAGGACAGAACACACATGGGAATGCCCCTGAGTGCTTATATGTCAATTCGAGACTCACCTAAACTCCACTTAACTTGGGATTGGACTCTTGTTTAAATACTACTACTGTAGTGATTTAGTAGTAATTTTTGATGATTTCTCTTTCTTTAGAGCATCCCGGTGCGCCCCATCAATAACCGCCTACAGCAAGAACAGCAGCAGCTGCTGCAGAAGCAGATCCAACAAGTTCCACGAAGAGACCAGCAGAAAGTGCGGCCTCAGGCTCGCCCAGAAGGATTGTTTGAGCCAGTGGAAACAGCATATCAACAAAGCTCTGTAAGTAGTAAACATAATTAAGCTTGGAATCATATTAATTTTCACAAATGACATACTGCAGACTGGAAATTCCCATGCTCATCCCTGTAATGCAGCAGCCATTCCAAGATAACTCTACTGACTGTTCCCGTGCAACGTTGATTGTAAAGACTCTTATCTTGACCTCAGAGATAGCGAAAGCAACAGCAGGTTTTGAGGGGAACAAATCTTCACACTTAACCAGCATCCCCAAAGGGGAGGCTTTAGGTTATAACTGTGACTAGGTTTTGTGTGGCATATAAAATGGGCATTGCTCGCCACCAAAATCCCTGATAAGGACTCCTGTAGTGTTGATGTGATCGAAGAAGACAGACCCAGATTATGTCATCTATCAAACTATGAATCTTCAATTCTAATGTTATTTTAGTTCTAACATACGCCAGCAAAAGTTGGAGAACTACCAAAGCTATGGAACGAAAGTTAAACGCACTTGAATATAAGTGTCTAAGAAACATCTTGAATATAAAATGGGAAGAATTTTTGAAAAAATGAGATGAGAGAAATATCTGGACAAATACCTGTATCGAGTGCAGTAAGACAAAGAAGATGGAAATAAACTCGGCACGCGCTGAGAGGAAAAAGACAAGATGAAACCAACAAGATATTTGATATAACCACTCAAAATGATGTTTTATCCTAATCAGTTTAAATAATGTGAACACAAAAAATGTATTGTTTATATCTGCATTATTTAAAAACCGTTGTTTCTCTCTTCTTTATATCCAAAGAGAATTCTTCGGTTCCACTCCCTGTTACTACAGTGTCCAAGATTTATTGCAGATCTTTAGTGTTTTCAGCAGTTAACTCTGTTTCATCTGTAGATTGTTTATATTTTAATCTTAGCTTCTTCATAATTTAACCTCCGGCTTATAGGTCTTTGATCAGTGTCATTATGCCTCCACAGAGAGATACATTTTTTATCTTTAGACTTTTCATGCTGTTTTTATTCCTATTCTCTGCATGTCTTCTGACTGATCACCTCATATTGTTCATTTTTCTGTAGCTGTTCTCTACACCATCAAAGCCTCCCCGCATGATTGGAGATAAACGACTTCTGGTCAAAGTCATCAAGGCTAACGGATTGACTGTGAAAGAAATTGGTAAGAAAACCAATGAAATAAAAAGGTTTGCATGTGTTTTAGTACTGTACATTTAAAAAGATACTAGAGTAATCTGCCTTGTCCCTGTGTGGGTTCCAGGGCTGTATTTTGGAGAACAAAGAATAGATCTTGTGCCTACCTAACAAGCATGTCCTAGAAGGTTACTAATTAGGGGTGTTTTCTTCAAAGTTAGAGTGCATCTTCCTGAGAGGCAAGGAACCAACAGTCTGCATAAAATTTAACCAGATCTGTTAAACAGAAGTGCAAGCGAAACTTAAGTTCTGGAATAAGACCAAAGTCCAGAAGTGGACAAATGACCAGAACTTTCCTCTGGAGTTTACAGCCAGGGAATGCTAAGCTGAGAAACATTCCTTGGACAGGCAAAATAAGCAAAATGTATATGTTTCAAAAAAGTTAAGACCCACAAACATCTTATCCCAGACATCAGAAAGAGACAGTCGTAATGTCTGGGCACATTAAGGGAAGAAATAAACTAGAACAACTGGAATAAAACAACTGCAATTGGAAAAAATCTGTGGAAAGAGAGATAGAAAAATACAACACAAGAGTGTAGAATGTTGAATTAAGAATTGACATCATAGCACTCAGGACACTCCCATTAGCGCGCCATCCCCATCTTCAGCAGCAAACGAAGAGTTCTAATTCCGATGGCACCAGTAACTGTCTGATTGTATATCTATCTTGCCTTTCCCTTGAGTATTGAGCATTGGCCAGATCCGCTGGCAACTCCTCGCAGCACCATTTTCCTCAGACAGTAATTATCTGTTTGCGTTTCGGCACTGTTCACTTGCTCCCAGAGGGCCCTCACAACATCTAACTTGTCATACATCAGTTCACCACCAAGTGGTTCAGAACTGGCCAGTCTATCCGCCTGCTCATTTCCCAACACACCGGCATAACCTGGAGAGAATATCCAAAGGATGCTAACTACCTGGGACCTCTGAAATGATGCTTGCCACTCTGCATGGAGCATACCTGTCTCCACCTTTCTCAACATGCTGTGACGAGGTGCTTTGCATGGTCTCCACGCACACAGAGAGCAAAGGGGAAAATCCGTGCTACAAGTGACAGCACGAGATACTTGTGGCTGGTCGAGTAAGCGAGGGGAAGCCCGAGCTAGACTCGTGGTCAATTGATCATCAGAAGTCATAGAAGACGGTTGTATTAGTAGAAGATGTAGTCCCTATGTTGTGCGTGTGACCAGTATTTGAATATGCTGCAAGCGATAGAAGTCTGAATAATTGTTGAAACATGTGGAATAAATATAACTGAATAAACTGATAGTATGTATAAGAAAGCCGAGTAGTGTCTGTGTTATCAACCCTAGACGTTCGAGCAGTGCAAGTTATGTTGTAGTAATCATCCAGAGAGTGAGCCATGGTGAGAGCAGACACTTTGTAAGCTAAAGAAAGTCAAGGGTCATTTCAAATGACGTAGTATTTCAAGGTTCATTCTAAGTCACGGTACAGCCACGCTTTATTTCACATGCTCTGTGAGTCAGTTACAATCACGGCATGCGTGTACAGCTTATTCTCAAGCCAGCGGAATGCAGTAGAGACTGCCTCCACCTCCATTCTCAAACTAGATGTTGTGATATCATATGCCAGGCTTTGTTGCACTAAGTGACGTCCATTCGCTTTTGTGGATGCACTTCTTCTGCCCCTCAACACAGAGCCCTCTATACAGATAATCACAACACTTGGGTGGGAATTGTCAGGAATAATTTGTTAAACTTCTGATTCTGCAGTGCCAGCTGGCCAGTCCCTGCACTTACGACTCAAATTTTCATCACAGGAATAGTATTGTGCCCTGAAGGAGAAGGATGTTGACACATGATGACGAGAGTGTCATAGCTTAACCCTAGTCACCTCAAACGAAAAGGCATCAGGGCTCCACCCTGAAAGACACTTACAGTGTAATTAATGACATTTCTCCTGAAATTTCTTTGAGTTTTCTCTAGAGTGGAGGTTGAAGTGTTGAAGATACCATTTTAGAAAAATAAAAAAATAACCAAATTGTGTCACGCCAATTTAATTAAAGTAAAACAAGAAATCTAATCTTTCTATTCGGCCATGCTTTGAAGACACACATACTTCGTTTTAATTCCATTTTTTTTCAAAACAGGTTTATACAAGTTCATTTTTCAAGCAAATGAAACAACATTATAATGTTTACATTGACAAACACTTAAACGGTGATATGTCTAAATGTGACTGAGTTGAGTTGAGTTGAGTCAAGAATTGACATCACGGCACTTGGGGCATTCCCATGCGTACTTCGACACATCTGCAGTAGCCAGCGCAGAGCTCTATTACTCTATTACTGTAGCCAGCTCTATTTCCCTATCAGTTATACTATTCTCAGTTTATTACAACAGTTTTCTCAATGCTCAGTCTATGAGGCTCAGGTGGCTGGGTCACACTTGGAGAATGGAAAATGGCAGAGTCCTTAAGAAAATTTAATGTGGTGTATTAAAGATGGGTAGAAGATATCAAGGGCGACCTTTACTACGATATAAAGATTTTGCAAGAGGGACATGAATTATACAGGTACTGAGGTGGACTCGTGAAAACAAAAGGCCATTGACCATGTTCTATCTAGGGTGTACATCAGGAAGGGAATGAGAAAGAAGGAAGAAATTATTGCAGAAAGTATGAGAGCTGAGCATTTGAGAAGAAACACATTAAACACAAATGTTGACAACAATGGTTGTGAAATACTATGCTATAATTGTGGAAGACTTTTCTTAATGTGGGCGGGTCTTGCTATTCACACTTGCCATCGCCATAGGCTGTGAGTGCCATACCTCCTCATGGTGCAACATAACAATCATCTGGAAAGAAAGAAAGGTGCCAACCATGTAATTCTCAGAGAATATACTTACTAATTATTTAAATTTGTTTATTGCTTACTTTATACAGATAATATTTAACCCTATTGGTAGCAGACTAGGAGCTCTGACATGCATTACTTTGGTTGTAATCTTATTTATCTTAATATTATATTCTACTCCTGGGAGCCAGCGTTGTGTAGTGGCTAGATGCTCACCCATGGATCTGAAGGCCGTGGGTTCAAATCTGAACAGAACAACCATTTTTGTCAAAGATTTCCTTGGCTCCTAGGTCAACCTAAACTCAAAAGGGCACCAGGTAAAGTCCTGGAAAGTGAAGGTGGTTGGCTTGATGTTGATCACATCACAACCGAGTGCCAGTTGGTCTGTAACATATAGGTCTTGACATATATGCTCTATACGCCTGAAGGTGCGGAGTCCTTTATTCTTCTGCAATTTTAACTTAGCCTGTTTATGTGGTCTTATAGTTTCCCTCAGGAGTCGCCGTGGCGTAGCGGCTAGACGATCAGAAATCCGTGGGATTGCTCCCTTGCGAATCCAGACTTTAAAAAAGAATGATTTTGACTCCCAGGTCAGTCTAGCATTGAATGGGTATCAGGTGCAGTCCTGGGAAGTAAAGGCGGTTGGCGTGATGCTAACCACATCACCCATCTTGTGTCGATTGGTCTTTAAAAATATAGGTCTAGCCCTATATGTCCTATACGGATAAAGGCGTGGAAAAGAGACCTTTACTTTAAACTCACTCAAATTCCCCACCTCCTCTTAAGACTGGATATGTCTATAAAGTTGCCAGATTTTGTATAATAGGGATGTCAATTGTTCCTACATCATACTTTATGACTTCCACATTTTTGAAGTTGCTGTTGCCTAGAAATCTGGCCTAGATGTATGGCAGCTGTCTGTTTACTTGACCCTCTCTTGAATTTATATTTACAGGAGGAGCTAACTGTGTATGTATGATTTCCACTGATGAACCAATACAGGGATACTCCACCAGCATTGTCAAGAACACGCAGAACCCATTTTGGGATGAACACTTCCTGTTGTAAGTTGTTTGTCTGTATATGCTTCACCAGTGTTCTTCTCAATCAATCAGTCAAATCAAATCAGTCAGTCAATCAGTTGATTGATTAATCAGTCAATGTCAGTCAATCAGTTAATCTATCAGCCAGTCATTGAATGAGGTGCCATCTCCACAATAGAGACTGGCTGCAATGGATATCCAGCTCTGCCTCTACTCCTGGTTAAACACTCTCTGTCTTTAACTCTTGGTTAAACACTCTCTGTCTCTACTCTTGGTTAAACACTGTCTGTCTCTAGTTCTAGTTAAACACTCTCTGTCTCTATTCCTGGTTAAACACTATATCTATAGTCCTAGTTAAACACTCTCTGTCTCTAGTCCTAGTTAAACACTCTCTGTCTCTATTCCTGGTTAAACACTCTCTGTCTCTGGTCCTAAACACTCTCTGTCTCTAGTTCTAGTTAAACACTCTCTTGTCTCTGTTCCTGGTTAAACACTTTCTGTCTCTAATCCTGGTTAAATGCCATCTTCCTCTAATCCTGCAATTCCTTATTAAACACTCTTTCCCTAATCAGTCTCTTGAGATTAACTTTCCACTTTCATCGCTGTCAACCTCTTGTTGTCTTGCCTTTAACTTTTTTTTATCTACTATGGTTTTTACAAGAATGTTTTGTCTTTTAATCTGGTTGAAATATATTTTTTGAGGGTTTCTTTAAAAAAAATTTAGTTTGTTATTTATTTTATTTTCTTCCCGGTCTCTCCAGAATATTTGTATTTGATTATTTTTATGAGGTTTGATATGGTCTTCTAAGTATCCACAGTTTTTTTTTTAAATTTAAACAAACAAAACAAAACAAATAAAATATTGCGTTCAAAACAATGTTTTTTTTCATTTCTTAAACTTAATAATGAAGCCACAAAAAATAGGTGCACAAAGGACAGCCTGACATAAAGGCATTTTAAAGTATGAGGATCTTCCTTGCACTGGATTTTATTCTGTTTATTGCCTGGCATTTTTCACTGTTTCAAGGTGCACATGATAGAAATAGGTCATGATAAAGTGAAGTTCAAAATATGTTCTCTTGTGAAGGTAAATCATAACACAGTGCATTGCACAGTTTTATGCATGGCATTGTTTCACTATCTTTTGTCAGGTGTACATTACAGAATTTACATCAGTGTTTTAAAAAAGCACAAAAAGGAATCTTTTCAGCTGAAATACACAAATCACAATATAGTTCTTTGTTTCACTATACATATAAATATGAACATCTTAGATTAACCACATTATTCTCACAGAGCTTTAAACTTCACATGTATTTTGTGAAACTTAGGTAACTATCAGTTGTAGGTAGGAGGTAGAGAACAGACACAGAGACACCCTGGCCTGCCAGTTTGGGGGGGTTGAAGCGTGGGCTGACACCCCCACCTTTGTAAAACTTCATCTCGTCACAAAACAGATATCTATGCAGCAGTGAACCTCAAGGGCTCGGAATGCTGAAGAAGAAGAATCAGTGGTTTATCATATAAATGGGATTTCCATACCTTTGACACCATAAAAATCCAGCATCTCCGCATTTAACCTTCCTGACCTCTCTTCCCCCATAACTTTCAATTTGTCATGGCCAGGTCTTAGTTTTTCTCTTCTGATGTCAAGCCTAAAGAATATGGACTGTGTTCTTGTGATGTAAATAACTAGTTCTCTTTATAATTTAATTTATTTTGAAACATCATTGTTATGCTTTGTATCTGTCAGTGGTGGTGTCCTCGTTATGCTTCTGTAAAACATATCTACAGTTTTTACATAATTTGTTTTTTTAACGGATTGTCAGAGTTTCACTTCTTTAGATTAGAACTTGCTCAGTATAGCTCTTGAGAACTCTCAGTGGACAAAGAGTATATAGTCTTGGTCACTCTATTTAAATTATGGTTAATATTTAATATTATAAGCTTCTTATTTAAACCTCTTCTAATGCAAACACATTGTGTTTGAATTCTTTCATTTGCAGTCAGTATTTTACTGTAACTATTTTTCAGTTGTTCTCTTTTTAAGGTCATTATTGGTCAGGAAGAGTTAAAATAATAACACTACTGGACACAAATAACTAAATTAACAGTTTAGATATAATATATGAATGTATACAATTTCAGCAACAGAGGACACTTAGAAAGGTTAACTTTCTTTGAACTACCTACCTACCAAGTGTTTGATGAGTATGATAGTATGCAATTACTTTCTTTGAACTACCTAGCAAATGTTTGACGTGCGTGAAAGTATAAAATAACTTTATTTGAACTACCTAACAAATGTTTCATGAGTGTGATAATATGAACAGTTAACTTTCCCAATTCTGATGTATTTGAATAGATGCCTTAAGGAAGAAGTGACAACAATAAAAAAATAACATGTAAATTCATGGTAACTAAATTCACTAAAGAAGTGGTCAAAAAATAAAACCAGATTTCTTCATTATGCTCTGACCAAATGTAGTCAGTAGGAGGACACCTTAACTGATGGCTGGTATGTAAGGGGTTCAGACTGTGACACACCAAGTGTTGCTTGCCACTGAAAGACTCAAACTAAACTCCTTTATATAGAGTGAGATAAAATGGCAGCTACTTTAAATGGATCCCCTTTAAATAGAGTGAGTTAAAATCACAGCTACTGTAAATGGATCCCCTTTGAATAGAGTGAGTTAAAATCACAGCTACTGTAAATGGATCCCCTTTGAATAGAGTGAGTTAAAATCACAGCTACTGTAAATGGATCCCCTTTGACTAGAGTGAGTTAAAATCACAGCTACTGTAAATGGATCCCCTCTAAATAGAGTGAGTTAAAATCACAGCTACTGTAAATGGATCCCCTTTGAGAGGAGTGAGTTAAAATCACAGCTACTGTAAATGGATCCCCTTTGAATAGAGTGAGTTAAAATCGCAGCTACTGTAAATGGATCCCCTTTGAATAGAATGAGTTAAAATCACAGCTACTGTAAATGGATCCCCTTTGAATATAATGAGTTAAAATCTCAGCTACTGTAAATGGATCTTCTTTGAATAGATTGAGTTAAAATCACAGCTACTCTAAATAGATCTTCTTTGAATAGAAAGTGAAAATCACAGCAACTGTAAATGGATCTCCTTTGAATAGAATGAGTTAAAATCACAGCTACTGTAAACTGATCTTTCAATAGAATGAGGTAAAATCACAGCTACTGTAAACAGATCTCCTTTCAATAGAATGGAGTAAAATCACAGCTACTGTAAACAGATCTCCTTTCAATAGAATGAGGTAAAATCACAGCCACTGTAAACTAAACTCTTTGGAACAGAATTATTAAAAATTACAGCTAACTGAAACATCAAGTTTTCGTATATTTTCTGCAGTCTCAGAATTTAAAAAGGGGGGTGGGGGGACAATAAGGTATCCCTACAAAGCAGTATCACATTGTATAAGAGGTAAGACTGGATCAGTGACGGATGATCGTATCTGTATCAGTCTCTCTCTTAGGTAAGTAGGACAGTAAGAAATAAGAAATATACATTTAGTTTCAGTATATTTTTTTGGGTTTAAATCTTCGACTGACTTTTTAAAAAATTGAAATGTCTTCCGCAGTGACATCACACACGATACACAAGAGGTCAGAGTTGAGATCTATGACAAGGGTAAAATAGAAGGTATGTATAAAATAAACATTATTGGTTTTGTTAACTCTTTGAGCCCCAGGGTTTTAGCATCAGAGGCCCAAGGGGTAGTCAAGAGAGATGTAAAATCGGTGCATCTTGCGTTCATTGGGCATCTATGCGGAAACCTATGAACGTATGATGCCTTCCTTGGGACTCACAGAGCTAAGCTGAAGGAGATCTGATGCGTTCCTTGGGACTCACAGAGCTAAGCTGAAGGAGATCTGATGCGTTCCTTGGGACTCACAGAGCTAAGCTGAAGGAGATCCTAAATTTGATAACAGTAGTGAAGGATCATGTTCACAATAGTGGCACATTGGGCATATTAAGCTGATATTTTTATAGACCAATCAGCATGACAGGTAGTGTTGTTAGCCTCACAGTAGCCCCCCTTTAACATCTATTTTAGGCTGGGCTAATCTGGGAGCCGAGATCATTTACAAGAAATCTGCTGTAGTGTATACGGAAACCTAAAACCTCAATCCAGGATTGAACCTGGCAACCAGGCATTACGAAAGATATGATATTAGACAATGAAATAGAAGTAAATTATTTGTATTCTCTAGGTATCTAGTCTATTTTGTTAATAAAGTATAACATTTATATTTATTTCAGATCAGTTTATTGGGGAAGCCATTGTCTACGTTGAGGATCTCCGCAAAACTCCTAGCAGTCGCCAGATTTTAAGACTACACCCCCAGCCTGGCAACTTTGAGTATAACTCTGGAACTGTTACAGCTGAGGTATGTTAAAGAGCTGTGAAAGGACCTCTTGTGTTCTTCAGCTCATCTTTCATATGATCAACAGTTTTCTTCTTCTTCCTCTTCTTTTCGTTCTAGATGAGAAGGCCATAGACCTCTATGAAGTCTATGGTGCGACACATATCTTCCACTGTTCCTTACAGCTTGATGTTCATTGCAGGGCCAATCACCCAAAATGGGATCTCTCTACTGCATGTAGAGAGTATGTCTGTGCAATGGGGGATATTTTCACCCAGATTAGGATGGTTGGGGGGACGAGCCCCCAATTGTAATAAATGGTGTGTTTATCTTCTCTCGTTGTCTAGGTGGTGTTCATGTGTGTCGTGAATGTTCTTCTCACACACTCTGCGTTACACTACTGGTACAAGCCGACACCAAGTTAGTCGTACGAGCATCGATTTATTGACATGTTATAACTTACAGCCATGTCCAGTCGTAGTCCTAATACACAGCTCTCGCACACAAATTCACGCAGCCTTTCGACGAACAGGTTCTTCTTGCATTCACTGACCAAAGTCAGCTCCCATGGATCAAGTTGAGGTTCTGGCCATTTCACAGACTGGCATGGTCGATCTTGGCTTTACACTTCGTCGTCAGGTTCTCCTTTCTCGACAAGCAATCTTACGTTGACATTCTCACGTTCAGTCACACATCCTCTCGCATCAACAGGTCGACACAAACTAAACTTGATCAGAATCAAGCCTGACCTATACCACGGGTTAGTTCCACGTGGCAACATGTGGTGGTCCTTTACTTTCACCTGGCAACACGTGGTGGTCCTTTACTTTCACGTGGCGACCTTTGGTCGCGTTGTCGTGGTACCCGTGATAACTAGCGGTCATCACCTATCTCAAGATTCTCGTTTAATCCGAGTATCTGGACTATCTCGGTGTTTTAGGTCCTAATCTGGGTGAAAATATCCCCCATTGCATTCTGCAGTGCCTGTCCACATGGGCAGAGTTCCAGATTCCCAGTCTGGAAATTTGTGTACATGTGGTTGCAGAGTCTGTTCTGTCCGGCATGCAGTCTAAATATAATGGTCTGTTTCTTGTGTGGAGGTTATGTCCGGTATGCAGTCTAAATATAATGGTCTGTTCTATGTGTGGAGGTTATGTTCGGTACGCAGTCTAAATATAATGGTCTGTTCTATGTGTGGAGGTTATGTCCGGTTTGCAGTCTAAATATAATGATCTGTTTCTTGTGTGGATGTTATGTTCGGTACGCAGTCTAAATATAATGGTCTGTTCTATGTGTGGAGGTTATGTCCGGTTTGCAGTCTAAATATAATGATCTGTTTCTTGTATGTGTGGAGGTTGTGTCTGGTATGCAGTCTAAATATAATCGTCTGTTCTATATGGGGAGGTTGTGTCCAGTATGCAGTCTAAATATAATGATCTGTTTCTTGTTTGTGTGGAGGTTGTGTCCGGTTTGCAGTCTAAATATAATGATCTGTTTCTTGTGTGGATGTTATGTTCGGTACGCAGTCTAAATATAATGGTCTGTTCTATGTGTGGAGGTTATGTCCGGTTTGCAGTCTAAATATAATGATCTGTTTCTTGTATGTGTGGAGGTTATGTCCGGTATGCAGTCTAAATATAATGATCTGTTTCTTGTATGTGTGGAGGTTGTGTCTGGTATGCAGTCTAAATATAATGGTCTGTTCTATATGGGGAGGTTGTGTCCAGTATGCAGTCTAAATATAATGATCTGTTTCTTGTTTGTGTGGAGGTTGTGTCCGGTTTGCAGTCTAAATATAATGATCTGTTTCTTGTGTGGATGTTATGTTCGGTACGCAGTCTAAATATAATGGTCTGTTCTATGTGTGGAGGTTATGTCCGGTTTGCAGTCTAAATATAATGATCTGTTTCTTGTATGTGTGGAGGTTATGTCCGGTATGCAGTCTAAATATAATGATCTGTTTCTTGTATGTGTGGAGGTTGTGTCTGGTATGCAGTCTAAATATAATGGTCTGTTCTATATGGGGAGGTTGTGTCCAGTATGCAGTCTAAATATAATGATCTGTTTCTTGTTTGTGTGGAGGTTGTGTCCGGTTTGCAGTCTAAATATAATGATCTGTTTCTTGTATGTGTGGAGGTTGTGTCCGGTATGCAGTCTAAATATAATGATCTGTTTCTTGTATGTGTGGAGGTTATGTCCGGTATGCAGTCTAAATAAAATGATCTGTTTCTTGTATGTGTGGAGGTTGTGTCCGGTATGCAGTCTAAATATAATGATCTGTTTCTTGTTTGTGTGGAGGTTGTGTCCGGTATGCAGTCTAAATATAATGATCTGTTTCTTGTTTGTGTGGAGGTTGTACCCTGGGGGGGGGGGGGGAGTGCTCTAGTGGCTTCTGATGACTGTCTTGATCTGAGTTTGATTTTCCTCAAAATTACACTCAAAAGACAACAAGAACTTCATGTCAAAAGAGGTGTCACCAAACATAAACACTATACAGGAAGCCAAAGAAGAATAGTAAACCAACACAAAACTGGTGTTATCAGTTACCACACACTGGGGGACATACTGTAGATGGGTTCGGAGTGCTTATGAACTTGTTCAGTGAGGATAATCTTTCCATTAACTAACTAACTAACGTCTAATGTGTATGGTCTGGCCAAGTGGATGGGGCGAGACAAAAACATTGAACTGCTCCAGGATTCTGGTGACTGTTTGAAGTGGTGAAACATGACAGCCTAAGCTTCCAGCATGGCACATGATGATGCTGATGGTGGTAAGAATAACAAGAAATCTTCAATATGATCTGTCTAGTCTGGAGCAAACATTGGTGCTGATGGCTCTCCTATTCTCACAGGCTTTCCTTATTTTGATCAAATGGTTGCTACTTACATTATTATTTGTTGTCTAGCTACTTCAGCTCCTCACATACATCCTGCGATGTCATTTTCCCTTACCTAGTGTTTTTCCACATAAGGCTAAATTCTCTTCTCCATCTCTTCTATTATGCTGAACAAACTTTAATCGTCTTATCCTTATTATATTAAAAAGTGATCTTATAATATCTGCAGGACTCAGTACCTCAATTTTTACTTCTCTTTCATGTGACCATTAAAACTAAATCTCTGCAGTTTCTATTTTCTCCACTCTTTTTTAATTGTCCTTGAATACAAGTCTTAGAATAAAATGAGCAATAACTTATGAGCAAGATTAATTTTCTTACAGAAATTTATGTTGTTACATAAATAACCACCAGTCTGTGTGAATGGTGACCATTAAAACTAAATCTCTGCAGTTTCTAGTTTCTCCACTCTTTTTTAATTGTCCTTGAATACAAGTCTTAGAATAAAATGAGCAATAACTTATGAGCAAGATTAATTTTCTTACAGAAATGTATGTTGTTACATAAATAACCACCAGTCTGTGTGAAAATGAATGTTTTAAATAGATAGAATATTGAATGCTTTGAATGTAGTCTATTGCATGTTAACAAGTCTAATTTGTTGCCTCCAAATCTGTTCTAGTTTCTGTTCATGGATCCTTCAGAAGCTGACTTACTTCTTGACTCAATGACAACCACTGCAAACAATCAGCTGTCACCACGTCGCCGCATTGAGGTGGCACGCACGGTCACACCAGGTGGCACCGTGGTAACAAAAACAACCACAACAACACAACGCCCCCAATATGGCCGCCATGATCCTGGTTTTGATAGTAAGTGTTGCAGATAATAATCCTAGTTAGCCATCATCATTAAGTATCTTGCCCGATTGCATAGACATTTATGCACCCATAACCCCTTCCCACAGATTCTAGTTTCTTGATTTGTTTGGGAACAATCCTGTTGATAATCTTTCTCCATGAAACTATTTTATACCGTTCAGTGTCATATTTTCTGTCTGTTTCTGCCTCTACTACTGGTCACTCCGATGTTCTATGGTGACTCTCTTCTCACTATGTGCCCAAGAGCATTGATTATCTCTTTCTTATAGTTATGTACAGTGTTCCACTATCATATTTTTCCAGGCAGTTGTTATTAGTTACTAGTTAGTAAAATAACAAAGAAAAGTCAGAACAACAGCAGGCCTAATCTTCTTGTTAATTGGACATTCATAATAAATTTATTTAGCTATACCACTTTGCCATGTATTATCCCATTGAATATGCCAGTGGCCTTAACTATTTGAGTCCTAGGGGGTTTAGCATCTGAGACCCAAGGGGTGGTCAAGAAAGACTAAAATCAATGCATCTCACGTGGATTGGGCTTCTAGGTAGGAAACTATGAATGTATGATGAGTTCCTTGGGACTTAAAGAGTTAATTTATAAACATTTTTTGCCTTCAAGTATACATTGCCAAACATGGTAATTTTGAAGAAAATAAAACAAAAAAAACAAAAAAAAAAGGTGCATTAGCAGATGCTGTATCAGTAACGCTATAATGCACCACATCTTAGGCTTAAAAGTGAGTATTTGAAATTTATAAAATATTGTTCGCTTCTTTCTTTCAAAATTTGATATAAAAGTAAATTAATGTAAATGGGAAAAAGGGGGGGGGGGGGGGGGGGGGGGTTGGATACTTTAAGTTCAAATAAATAATGTAAAAAGTTGGGTTATTGTTTCAGAGAAATTGTGTTTCCTGCTTTTGTTCTGATGCATGTTTAGCACCTTCTAACAAAATATTGCTTCTTCATATGTCATATCTCTTTATACTTGTTAACTGTAGGCTTTTTTAATCCATGATTACTGGAAACTCTTAAAGAAAGGGTCTGTCTAATGTCAAGAGATTTTAATGAATAGTTTCATCAAATCTAAGAGTGGATGGTCAATGGTTTCATTAAATCAAGAGGTTGTGGTGAATAGTTTCCATAAATCAAGAGGTTGTGGTGAATAGTTTCCATAAATCAAGATGGTGTGGTGAAAAGTTTCATTAAGCCAGTAGGTATTTTGCATAGTTGAATTCATTCATGCTCGTTAGCCACTGCACTACTGTTTCAGTCAGTGTCAAATGACAGTCAGTTCCTAGAATCAGATCACATTTGACCTTATACCTGTAAGTGTTTCAGTCAGTATCAGATCACAGTCAATTCCTAGAATTAGATCACATTTGACCTTATACCTGTAAATGTTTCAGTCAGTGTCAGATCACAGTCAATTCCTAGAATTAGATCACATTTGACCTTATACCTGTAAATGTTTCAGTCAGTATCAGATCACATTTGACCTTATACCTGTAAATGTTTCAGTCAGTATCAGATCACAGTCAGTTCCTAGAATCAGATCACATTTGACCTTATACCTGTAAGTGTTTTTGCAGCTGCTTCCTTTGGCTATTTCTTTTTTTAAAACTGTTGCTACAGATTGTTGGGCTGCATGTATAGTGATACTTTCTTTGCTGAATGCCCAGAGTATTGTTTGAATCCATATACATCATACGGTGTCATAACTAGATGGGCATATAGGTTTCAATTGAGATTTTCTGAAAAAAATATTATATTGTTTGGCAACATCCAACATTGTTTGGCAAATTCCAACTTTTAATGTTTCATTAAGAATCAGCACTTGGGGCATTCCCATAAGTGCTCTGTCCCCATCTTCAACCTCAAGCACAAGATTCAAATTCCAGTTGTACCAGTAGCTGTCTGATTGTATATCTGCCTCACCTTTCCTTTGAGTTTTGATCATCAACCAGACCCCTGGTCACTCCTTGCAGTGCCATTCTCCTCAGACCATGATGATCCATCTGTGATTCAGTAAAGTGTCCTTGCAACATCCAGCTTGTCACGCATCAATTCACCACCAAGTTGTGCAAAATCAGCCAGTCTATCTGATTGTTCATGTCCTTGTACACTGGCATTACTTTGGGAAAATGTTTAAAGGATACTAACTACTCGGGACCTCAGAAACAATGCTTGCCACTCTTCACTGAGCATACCAGTCTCCACCCTTGTCAGTATGATCTGTGAGTTACAATTATGGTATATGTGTACAGCTTATTCTCAAGCTAGTGAAAGACTGCAGTGACTGCCTCCACCTCCATTCTGAGACCAGATGTTGTGGTGTCATATGCCAGGCTTTGTTGTACTAAGCGACGTCCATTCACTTTTGCTAAGAACCCCCAATATGTTTGTTTATACCTTACACCATAGCAGGAATATTACAGGAAAAAAAAATTGTATTATGCTTTGCAAAGACAGCATAGCACTAAAATCAAATTAGTCTTTATAGTTTTCTTGCTCATTTTTAATAAGGAATTTCATGTAGTGAGTTTTAGCCTACTGTATTTAACAACTTTGGTATTTATTATTTTTATTTATTTTAATTCACACATTTACTTCATCCTTTGTAGCTAACATAGAAGTTTCTTTAACACCTGCTTCTGTAGTAGGAAAAACAAAACATCATTGACTGACAAATATGTCAAAGCATGCTCGTAGTACAGGATCTGTAGCACTGCAGTTGTGGCTATACTTGCCTAAAACACAGTAGTCCTGAGTTCAAACCCAAGTAGAGGCAAGATACAGCTCAGAGGATGATCCAGTCCTGATAAAATAGGTACCAGTGGTCTCTACATACCTGCTTTGCTTTGTGAACTGAGGAATTTTTTCACCTGGCCTTAATTACCGACCATCATAGGCTGTAATTTCCCCTTCTCCACAGAGTGTAATTTTTCCTTCTCCATGGGGTGTAATTTCCCCTTCTCCATGGGGTGTAATTTCCCCTTCTCCATAATTTTCCCCACTTCCTGAGGTGTAATTTCCCCTTCTTTGTGGGGTGAAATTTTTCCCTTCTCCCTGGGGAGAAATATCCCCTACTCGCTGGGGTGTAAGTTTTCCATATCCCTGGGGTGTAATCTCCCTATCTCCATGGGCTGTAGTTTCCCTACCTCCAAGTGGTGTAATTCCCATGCCTCCTTATATCCCTGTAGAATACTAACGCTATCATCTCCAAAACTAGAATGGTTCCAACAGGATACCTGGGAAGATAATGGTGGCTGGGTAATACTAGCCATATTTCCCTGTGTATGGCTTTCATTGGTGAAAAACCTTGTGCCACCACCATATTCTGAAGAAGCCTTATGGTTTTTAAATGGGACTGTACTTGTGTATTTAGTAAGTGACTAGTGAATTCATTGGTTAATTAACTACAGGCTTGCCAACCTACATAGAGAAAAACATCGCTGATGAGGCACCCAGACTGTCTTTTACAGATAGTCCTGCTAATGTGTCGTCTGGTAAGTTTTGTTCACACACACAATCATATGAATCACACAGCATAATGGACATACCTACATTTTAAAGGGAATCTTCATGTTAAACCATATTTTGTTAGTTTCGGTTTGCAAAGTGGTCATCATCAACAACAACAACATCATCATCATCATCATCATCATACACACTGCTTGCTGGTGTAGATGTTCTTGTTAAAAGCGAGTCTTCTTCTTGACCTCCATTTTCCTCGTTCCTCTTTTGAGGGAAGTATGCCACGTCAGTCAGTCTCCAAAAGCTGAGATAGCTGGGTCAAACCTGGAGAATGGAGGATGGCAGAGTCCATAAGGACATCCTCTGTGGTGAATTACAGATAGGTAGATGTTGTCGAGGCCTGCCTCTACTACAAGATAGATGTGTGCAAATAGGACATACATGATACAGATATTGAGGTAGATTTTTTGAAGTAAAGTGCCACAGCCTATGTTGCGTGGAGAGAGCAAATCAGGAAGGTATTGAGAATTAGGGATAAAAAATGATTGCAGAAAGGATCAGAGCCAAGCAGCTGACTGGGGCATATTTCAATTTGCATTTAGAAGTTGGCCATAAATATGATGAATAAATGGTCATGGATCATTACTGGTAGTGGTCATTGAAAGGCGACAAGCTAGTTTATGTCTGTAAAATAGCTCAAAGCTCTCTGAGGTGGGCATCAGGGTGTTAGTGTTACCAGGCAAACGTCTCCTCCCTGCTGCCTTCTAAGGACTGTATTTTTAGTTAGACAAAGGCTGTTGGATTCAAAGCATAGATAAACTGGTGGAAACAAAGGGAAACCCCCATTTTATTTGTCTCTAGTAAATCATGCCTGTCTGCAAGAGGAAGACAATGATAGAAATTTATTTGCAACCATTTGCCATGTCAAGGAAGGATGTCGGCATGTAATCTGATACATGCTGTTAGAAATATTGAGATGTGAAGAAGCATGATTGTCAACAGCAGTCAGCAAAACACTTGTATGATGATGATGATAATGGCGATGATGATGATAATTACAATTTATGCAGTTAAAGGCTTTCCAAACTGTATGTCATGACACATTAATATGTAGACTACAGTGTAAATGTATATCAAACATAATTTATGTATATGACCAAATCTCTTATAAGAGACCATATTCAGTGGACCAAATTCATGTTTTACAAAAATATCTTTGTCTAAAAAGATGTGCCACCAAAACACAAAAAGTTTGCAAAGCTGTGGTTCATAAAAATAAAATATATAAAATATGATGGTGATAACTGATGGTCTTGTTAAGAATGTCCCGTCAGCCAAGGGTTTTCATGTAGAGATAAGTGAGCCAGTATGTTTGCTAATAACTGTTTGTTAAATACAGGTATGCAACAACAGCTGATCCCAGTGAGTATGATTGGAATGCTGGATTGGAAGTAACACTGGGTTTACAAAATGTTTGCGTAGAACCTATAAGTTTGTGAGGTCTTGTTTAAAACAGTTGTTTCATTTGAAACTGCTATTTTCATTATTATAAGATAATTTTCTTTATAGAAAATACTAATGGATGCAGTAGAGTATGTGATTACGCAAAAGGCGGTTATTTGTATTTGTGAGTTTATTTAAAAGTGTGTTGATGTGCCCATTTGAACTAAATTGTGACTGTTATGATCTGACTTGGTGGAAACTAATTTATATTAGGGAGTATTTTTTTTTTTTAAATTACCTCTTTTAGGTTTGTTCCATGATTGGTCAGGACTAGCAGTGATGCTTTGATGAAGTGGTTTGGTTTAGTTTTTTCTTTGCTCTTGCATTTTGATTTCTTTCTTTCTCCTGTCCTTATATTGGCAGAGCATAACACAAATGCCAAGGCATATTCTATGAATGCAGTTGTAATTCTATTTTTGTTTTCTTCTTTTTTTGGTAATACATTTTTGAATGCAGCTGTTTACTTATAAATTTTAATTCATGATTTTAATTTGACAGTTTTGAAACTATGTCTTACATTTGTGTTTTATTTTGCCTGGCTAGGTAAATTAACAGGAATGACAAATTCTTTTTTTTTTCAGTATTATATTTGCGATACTTACATGTGAAATTGCACAAGAAAAAGTAAAATGGAAATATGTAGCCTGAATTATAAGAAGAAAAAACAAACAGTAAACATAAAATAGAAAAACATTCCAAATGTGTGAAATTTATTTTAACCAAGTGTAAAATTTATGAAACCTAGCTATGATTGTAATATTGTAAATCTGTGTGACATCGATAATGTAACTGACAACAAAAAACAAACCAAAAAATACAATAAAATAAAAAATAAATTTAAAAAATTGCAGAAAAAACTATAAAAAAGTAAAGAAAGTAAAGATCCCTTTTCACGCCTTTCGGCGCATCGGGCATATGGGCAGAGCGTCCCATATTTTTACAGACCATCAGCACTCTGTGGGTAATGTGGTCAGCATTACGCCAGCTGTTTTTACTTTCCCAGGACAAGCTATCCTGGTACCCATTTTAGGCTGGGTCGACCTGCGACGTCCCATAAAAACTATGCTTACAAAAATGTATAGGCCAGTCCTTCGAGAAGCCTATAAAAATTGTAAACTGATCTGAGAAATGAGACATAGACAGTCACAATTTTCTTAGCACATTAAGAGGAGAAAAATATGAAAGCTTAGTGGCAACTGATAAACTTGATAGTAAAGTATCAGGGAGGGAAAGTAAAGAGATAAATATCATGATGGTATAGTCATATGGCATAATCAGTACAAGAACATTGTCCTGATAGACTGGGGATTGTATGCCATGTTGTGTCATGCTCACCCGTTTTTGGGCATGGGACATGATGATGGTCATACCATACAAGGCATATGCCAAAAGAGGAGAAAGACATAAAGCATAAGGTAGACTAAGAACAACATGTAAATATAACATCAGAGATATTCTCTGACAGTGCAGTCTATCTGTGGTTGATGAAGCCAGCGAAGCAAGAACCAGAACCTCATACTTATCACACTGGGCATGCAAGGTGGTAAAGGAGAAAGTGAAAAAAAAAAGAAAAAGACATGATGATGATGATGAATTAAGACAATTAAACTTTTGAGCTTGACTAATACAAAACAATTCTTATAATATCATGGATCAAGAAGGGAAAACAAATAATATTCTAAAATATCTGAACCGCAAGGAAACTGATTCTTATTTTTCATGTTCAGATTCATATGTTCAGCTAGATTGCCTGGTGGGCTGCCTCTAGATATTCACATGTCAGTTGCAGGAAACTGTTTCAGGCACAATGTCTCAGAAACAAAACAAAAAAATATTGTGGCCCCTTCCATCCCCCCCCCCCCCCCCCTCCCAAAAAAAAGAAGCCACAACGACTTAGAAAAAAAAATAGCTGAAGGCATTGTTCCTGGATGAAGAGCAGGGTCGACTAGCATGATGATGGATATAGGAAGTTGGAGACTGTATACAAATACACAGGACAAGGAAATTTGCAAGAGGTTGAAATACATTTTTTTTTGGGTGGGGGGGGGGGGTCGGATGGGGGAGGGGAGGTCATTAATAGGAGTCACATTCTGCAAAGTTTCTGATATGTGATGATATTCTCTATATAGTTTTAGTGTGCCAAGTTATTTCCTGATTATGCCACTGTTCAGTGAAAATGACATTAGAAGATAAAACAGGCAGCATGGAAACCTGGCCAAATATATATATATATATTTAATCCTTATCACATTAAGACCTTTAGACAGTGCCTGTGGGGGAATTGATGATCTCATCCTTTGCTCTGGTACTGGTGTGTCATCAGACTATAAGTGCAGTCATACATATGCTTGATTCCAGAATGAAAATGAAAAAAAAAACATACTAACTAAAGTGAAATGAGGAGCCACTGGTGTAGCAGCTAGATACTCTCCTGCAGAGACACCGGTCATAGGTTTGAATCTGAAAGGAGCTAGACTTTTTTTAAATTTTTAAAAAAATTTTATTATCATGGCTTTCAGGTCAACTCAACCTTGAATGGGTAGCAGGTAAAGTCCTTGAAAGTAAAGGTGGCCACTGTGATGCTGACCACATCACCCACAAAGTGCTGATTGGTCCACCAAGTGCTGATTGGTCCACAAAACATAGGTCTATCACTATGTGCCCAGCACACCTGAATGCGTGCAAATGGTTCCTTTTTTTTTTCCAGCAATGATATAGTCATGTGATCAACTGAGTTTTTAAATGCTGTAATAACAGGAATGATACCTGATAATGAAAATGGAAGGATTAGCAATTTACTGGACAGATTTAACGTTTATAAAAAAGACAGCAAAATCTTTAGTGTGTAGTGAATTTCTGGCAAGAGACAATCTGGAAACAATTAACATAGTTCTGCACCACTTGGCAAGAGTATGTGTCTAATTTTATACGAAAACGCCGCTGGAACTATGTCGGCCACGCCCTTAGAATGGATAAATCAAGACTTCCTTACCAAGCCCTCATTTGGACACCACAGGGGAAAAGATCTCGTGGAAGACCAAGGGAAACCCTACGTAGAACTATCATCAGGGAAGGCTCCATCATGGGCCACTCAAACATCCAAGACCTACAACAGATTGCAACAAACCGCCATGCATGGAGAGTCATGACCTCTGCCCTATGTGCCACACTCCACACAAGAGGACAGACTAACTAACTAACTAACTAACTTGGTGATGCCTAACAAGCTAGTTGTGGTCAAGCCCCTTTGGGAGTGAGTGAATGAGATGGAGGCCGAACATCACAGTTTGAAAAGAATGGTGCAACTCTGAGTGACCAGGAGATCTGGCTCACACTCAGCACTCATAGGAAATGCAAGACCATCATACAGTCAGACCGCTACTGGTACCACTGGAATTGGAACTTTGTGTTGACTACTGAAGATGGGGATGGAGTGCTTATGGAAATGAGTACTGGGATGTTAGTTTTTAACTGAACTCAGTGAACATAGTTAGTGGTGGCCTAAGATTCCTAGATTATGTGAGAAGGCAGTGCAAGATACTATTGTAAAAGCGACACGTGCAGCTTATAGGTTGAAGATAGACCACTTGTCTTTGAGTCCCAGAAGTTAGCAGCAGCCAACCACTTTAGTATTTATAATAACCTCACAAATGTTTATAGTAACCAAATATACATATATAAAGTAAAAGACAAATATATTGCCAGGTCAGGCAAAAATGGCAGTCCTTTTTAGGACAGCCAGACCCACTCCCAAAAAACTGGAAACAGCCCGCCAAGCCTCACCGCGCAGGCATGATGTAGCAGCACAAAAATCAAACTTAGGCAAAAATTATCACCACAAAGGAACAAACTAAATTCAGATAGCAAAGAAACCGTCCTCAATAAAGCAGGCCTTCATGCGGCTGAAATAGGACAAAGCTTGACTTTTTTATTTTTTTCCAAGTTCCAATATTGCCAGGTTTAATTTGCAAATGCTGACTAAATGTAAAAAGTATAACCATACAAGACACTGTTGATTGTCACACATAAAGAATAGCAAACCTGTGTGTTACTTAGTACAGATAAACATTCTTGCACTGTGTTTATAATTTGAGATTTTCAAAGTCTGGCTGGCCTTGGACCGTATCCTCAGTTGAATCTTCTGCCTGCATCTGTCAATACTAGACCGGCAGTAGGCCACTCTGGATGCACTTATGACCTCTGTACTTCCCTTCTGTCTGCATACATGCATGTGGCCCTTGAGCTTTTTTGTATTCTTTCAGAAACTATTACAAAAAATGGAGATGATTCTGTAGCCAAAACAGCCATGCGGGATATCCAGGAGAGAATACGCCAAGGGCGTATTCCTGCAAAAGCTAGTACAATAATAATTACAGGGGTTAAACGGGTAAGCTGTTGTAAAACCTCAGTATGCTTGAGTATTTATCATATAGCAACATGCATACAGAGCAGTTTTAAGTCACTGAAAAAAAAAAAAATATATATATATCCTAAATGACAAAATGCTTTCAGAATAAATCATACCTCATTTTAAAACCTTAATAACTTGAATATGTTTACTGGATCACAAACACATATATAACAAATCAGTTATAAATTATTAAAAAACTGAAAAAAAAAAATTGATATGTTTACTATATATAACAAAAAGCATATGAAACAAATCAGTTATAAGTTATTGTGAACCCCCAATTAACTTCAGTATACTTTGTGTAGCAGAATGCATACCGAAATTGTATTAGCCATTGTGAGACTTTAATCAATATAGAGCAAATCAGTTATAAATTACTGTAAAAGGTCAATCAGTTTAAGTAAATTTAATATCTATCAAAATGCAGAACAAATCAGTAAAAATTCGGTGAAATCGCACTTAACTTTAATGTGTTTACCATAATATATCAGTAATAAATCATCAGGAAAATCTCAGTTAACCTCACTATTTTTTACTGTTTAACAAAATACTTATAGAACAAAAAAGTTATGTATGATTTTTTTTTTAAAACTTGAACAAGCTTGAATATATTTCCTTATCACTGAGTCACACAAACATGCACGCGCGCGCGCACACACACACATACACACACAAATTTAAATGTCTCCCCTTCAGTGTGTTACATTAATAAATCATCTTTTTAATAATATTAAACAGCCAGAAGTAATTTGCAAGCACAAATATCCAATATTGAAATAGGGAAGAAAAAACAAGCTACTTTTGCCGGTTATGACTTAGTTGGGGTTGAACAGGATATCATTGTTTAAATTAACACTACTGTATCACCGTCTTGCACCAGGTTTTATCTCATAAGGCTCAGTCTCTATCTGCAAAGTGGATGTTCATCAAGTCAACCGCTATGCTCAAAATGATGTCCTTCCCCACCCACCCAAGGGTCTATAAAACACCTGCACTTGCGAACCTAAGGATGGAGTCTGAAATAGATCTCATAGTTTTAACAGTGTAAGGCAGATAACTGCAGGGCTGCTGAATGTACCACAGAGTTCCGTTCCAACTAACAGGTCATAATTCGAACTTGCCAAAAGTGGAATTTATATTTTTTCAACACTATTTTCATTCAAACGGGTTATAACAGTTGTACATAAAACACACAAATTTAATCTATGTTTAATTAGCCTCTGCTGCACTCTAGGCATAATTTCCTGGAACTTGTTAACCCTATTTACTACTTTCATTTACTTTTTGTGTGTGTGGGCAGAAGCTGCACTGGCCATAAGTCGAGGAGAAAATGTACTTTGCCATAGAGATACAAAGTCTCAGAAGAATAGTGGGACAGTGAACAAACAAACAGGCAAATTGTATTTCAAAACAGTTATTAATTGGACACCCAGACCACTCTAACACTCCAACCTATGTGCCTCACTCCTATCTTAAATCATTTTACTCATTAATCTTTTAATCGTTAATAACAAACCTCATGAACAGTAACTGAATATTAATCACAACTGCTGTAATGATACCTGCATTTCTAAATAATAATTTGTAATATAATTACTTAACTAAATTAGGGAGAATATACTTTATGCTTAACATGCTGTTATCTTTTATGGGGGCATTTAGTCAACACTGAAATAATATTCAAATTGTTTCTGATGAGTTTAATAAATAGTAAAAAGTAAGTAAAGGTCCCTTTTCATGCCTATTAGGCGCATTGGGCTGATGGGGAGAGCACCCATATTTTTACATAGTCGGCACTAAGTGGGTAAAGTGGTCAGCATTACGCCTGCCATCTTTACTTCCCCAGAACATTCATCCTGGTACCCATTTTAGGCTGGGTTGACCTATGACGCCCCATACCATGATAAAAATCCATGCAACCAGCAGACGCCACAATGAGTTTAATGGTAGATCATAAGTGCCAGTATTATGACAGTTAACTTAAATGATACATGTATTTGGTTTGTCCCGATCACCATTATTAAATCATCTGTGTATCTTTCGTATTTCACATGCTTTTCTGACTCCAGCTAGAAACTATTTCTTATATTGGCTTGTACTCACTTTCATTTAATATTTCATGCATAAAGTACATAACAGTTCGTTCTAGTAAATAACATTTGTTTCATATAACTTAACATTTCTTGTGCTTGCTATGCATATTGCGTGCATCTTTGATTGCACTATTAAAACCAAGATTGTTCTTACTAAATGCCTTCAGTTCTGTAATTATTCAAATTTTAAACTCATATCCCTGAAGCTAGCATACAATTTATGTTTCTTTCCTTTCTTTATTAAAAGGTAGTTTATTTAAAATAAACTGCAAAACTATCTTCATTAAAATAAATACAAGCGTTTATTTTGTTTTCTTGCTGTTATTTTCATGCTAGCGGGAGTCACCTCGCCCAAGGACTAAGGTAAATCTTGGACATAGTAAAAGTCCAGTAAAGTAAAGACAAACTAAGTATTAACTGTACTCATTTAAAAAATAAACATGTTTCTGTTAATTGAAGAAAAAGTTATTCATTTTGATAGTTATTTCATCTTCATATTTATTCATCAGCTAAATTTGTTTGCTTTGTTGATAGTCATTATAATGAATGAATGAATGAATGATAGAACCAGTCAATCAAGCATTGACATCGCTGCACTCAGAGCATTCTCACACGTGCTGCATCCCCTTCTTCAGTAGCCAACGAAAAGTCAATATACTAATAGTACCGGTTGCAACCTGATTAAAAGTTGGTTATATTTATCCGTTAGTTATAATTCATAATAATTTGATAGCATGGTTTGTCAAGATCATAGTGTTGTTTTTAACTGAACAGTTTGTTGTTTATTAATACCCATCTTTGTTCTGTTTTAAATATTTTATGTGTGTGTGTGTTCAAGATTTAAGTGTGCTTGATGAGTTTCATTGGAGACCTGATTGGATAAAAATAAATTAGTTTACCATGTTAGTAATCTTAGTTTCAGCTTCAGAGCAAATGGGACAACCCATAGTTGCTCCACTTCTTTACCGACGAAAAACACACAAGAATGTCCATCACTGTCTATTGTGGAGAAATTGACACAGACTGCAGTTTCAGCATATCCACTAGGATACATAAGCATTAAGTGCTAACACAAACAGTCTGACACTAGAAATGCAGTTCATCAATAACTGAGGCAGCAGTTACAGATCAGCAATTGCACACACAATCAGTTTTAATGACATAAGTCACAACCAATTATCTGGCAACAGGCCATTCATCACATGCAGCTCACAGTGTCGCACCATGGGCTCAGCTAAGTAGATAGTTGACAAAACTTTATCCTTTCAGTCTACAAATGGAGGAGTATGCAAAGGCCCCTATCTGTCAGAAGCAAAACTTTGTCGTGAAAAACAGTGACCATGTCTATCGTCCCTTCTGACTTTAAGCCTGTCAGAATGAATTAATGAATCAAGAATTGACATAAATACATTCTGGATATTCTCATACATGCTCTGTCCCCCCTCATCAGTGGCCAACGATGAGCTACCATACTGATGTTGCCGGCTGCAACTTGTCAGAGCAGTTGGCAATTGACTGAAAATTGTTCTGGCAGGCCATGATGGGAGTGACACTGTGTACCCTGATATATGATAGTGATGAAGATGGTTTTAAATAGCTGATGTGTTGAAAGTAACTTAGTTTGATAAACTGTTTTACAGAAATGATATGTCTGATGATAGCTTCGTTTAAGATAACTTAGATACCAGTCGTGGATGAAATATGACACCTGACCTTATCCAAGGCATTAACAAAATTCATAACCTGTTTAAATCACCACTGATCACTGGCATCATGAGAGCTTATAGACTAGAATGGTTGGGGAATATTGAAAGAATGTCAGATGACAGAGAAATAAAAACTGAATATACAAGGGAGATGATTAGTCAAAGACCACGAAGCAGACCAAGAAGAAGATGGAGAGATAATGTCCAGATAGACCTGCAAACACTTGGTGTCACCAGCTGGAAAGAGAAGGCTTGTCAGAGAGATTAATGGAGGCGGGTGATATCGGCAGCAATGAACCTCGAGGGCTCAGAGTGCTGAAGAAGAAGAAATAGAAGAAGAAGATCTTATTCAAGAAACAGTCAGGAGAATTATACCAAACACTTCAGATTTTCACTTTTGTAATCTCAATAAGTCAATTGATCAGGTGCCATCTCTATGGTGTAGGCTGATAGGAATGCATCTCCTGCACTTTCTATCTCTCATCCACATTTAAAAAAAAATTACCATTGCCATTCTCACTCTGATATCTAGTATTTTAATCAGGTGATGAATATTATTTGTTGCCCAACAGTTTAAGCTGCCTGTGTGTGTGGACAGTAAGCAGACAGGCTGAGCATGGCAGGGGAAATAATCTCTTTTAGCCCAAAAGTTACTTTAACTGTTATGCTTCATTATTGCCTTAGTCAAACTCATTAAAAATCGAAGACTTTGATTCTAATACATATACTTTGGGATAGGCAGTGCTGCAGTAGCAGTCACCTGGGTCTCAGAGAGGTAAAAGATCATGTTCATCACTTTTATTACAATGAAATCTTTATATATATTGTCTGTTTCTCCTTGTATAGACAATAGAGAGTTCCCCAGCGGAAGACACTTCTGAGTCACCACAAGCCAGTCAGCAACAGCCCACAAATGTGAAAGGTAGGAGTTGGGTTTATTCAGTAGCTGGTCAGAATAGTCATTGACAATGTAGTCAACAGTAAGTAGGTAATGTTAAAAATCTATTTCATTCCATCATTAGAAATATTTGGTCTATAATGTCAGCCAGTCTTGTTAGACCAGTTCCTCTTGTGAGCCTACGACCCTATTTTGGATGCAAAAATATATCATTGCTTCTCGTCTTCCCCCCCCCCCCTGCATTTTACACCTTTCATAGGCATTTTTTAAAAGGTGGCTTTATGGGTGTTAATTGACAGCAGTTATGTTGGGCTGAGAAGCATAGAGCTGTAAACAACATAACATGCCAACTACCCTTTTAATATATATATATATATATATATATATATATATATATATATATATATATATATAATATATATAATTAAAAAAAAGAATAAAAAGTTAGACCAGTCGCACAGTAATAGGGTATACCTGAGGCTGGCCACCTTTACTTCTTAGACAATTTCCAGGTAATAATTTATGTTGAAAACCTAGATCATTGGAAGAGAACTTCACTACCAAACATTAGATCATGTGTCATTTTTTTTTTTTGTTGACATTTTACTTTTGATAAGTACACATGACAGAAATCTGGCTATTCTGGTAGCAACTGCCATTTCTGTTATGTTCGAACGATGCCTCTGACATGTTATAGTTTATTTTTGTAGAATTTTAAATCTAACCCCTAAAAATGCAAGTTTTGGGATTGCCAAACTGCTGATTACTGCCTGTTTTAACCACATTTGTGGTGTAGGCCAGGAAAATCTTTGAACCTGAAGATTTAGGGCTGTATGGCTAGTGCTGTCGCTACAAACTGTGCAGGTTAGGATTTCATTTTTTATCGTCAGGGGGAGATGTAACAATTGTTGATGAGCTCTGTCAAGAGCACTATTAAGATTGATGATACAGAAGTGCTAACATAAACAGTCCAACATTAGAAATTCAGTTCATCATGAATGGTTGCAGAAGTCACCAACAGATCAGCAGTTGCACAGGCGATCAATTTTAATCACATAATGGCACCACCAATATTGCAACAACAGACATCGTGCCATTTTCTGAATTTACAATTCACACCACCACGTTGGTCACAATAGAAAAACATTCCAAATGAAATCGGCAGCTCACAGTGTCACGCCATGTACTCAACTCAGAAGCTGGGCAACAAAAATATCCTTTCAGTCTGCAAATGGAGCAAAAATGCACCGACCACCGTCTGGCAGAAGCAAAAAAAAAAAAAAAATGTGCCGCGGCTCACAACAGTGACCGGTGACTGGTATAACTCTCAGCATAGCTTCGGAAATGTGTGTAGTAATCCTTAAACAAATAGAAACAAATCTCTCCCTAAGCCTCTTAGAAAGGGAGAATAGATAACTGGCCTTCTTGAAAAGAAGAAGAAAAAATTACCCATTTGAAATAAATATAGAAATATCATCATTATCATGTGCCCTGCCAACTGGCGTGGGCCCTCATGCATCTCCACAGATCACGATCCCTGGTTGCCTGGAACAGCTCTCTTGATGATATCCCTCCATGCTATTGTTTTAGCCCATCCAGCATCATCTCTTTTGGTCTGTATAGAAATATAGCACAAGGAATTTCCAAAGAGATGACCGTTTGACTGTTACGGCAGACAGGTCGTAACAGACCAAACACTACTAGTTCTGAAGATAGGAAATAATGATAAATGTAAAAATGGGATTGGATAAATGGCAGCTAACATATGCCACACGAGCCACATCTTCTTCTTCCTCAGCATTCCGAGCCCTTGAGGTTCATTGCTGCAGATATCACCAGCCTCCACTCATCTCTCTGGTTTGGTTAGCCTTCCCTTTCCAGTTGGTAACACCAAGTGTTTGCAACAAGAGCCAAATGTTTACAGAAAAATAACAATTGTTCTGGCCTACAGCCACACATTTGAGGACAAGCTCTGTGGAGATGCGGAGTCGCTGTGGCAGAGCGGCTAGACGTTCGCCACAGATTGGAAGGTTGTGGGTTCGCTCCCTAGTGGAGCCGGACTTTCAACAACAAAATTACTGTGGCTCCAAGGTCGACTCAGCCTTGATAGGGTACCGGGTGTAGTCACGGGAAGTAAAGGTGGCTGTCATGATGCTGACCACATCACCCATCTTGTGCTGATTGGTCTATAAAATATGTCTAGCCCTAAATGCCTAAAGGCATGGAAAAGGGTCCTTTGATTTTTTTTTTTAAATCTACTTTCTGTGGAGATGCCAAAAACCTCAAGTTGTCGACTTCTTTCTTAATAAACATTTTCACCTTGACATCTGAAAATCTATAGGAAATAAAGACTATTAAACTTGCACAAGTTTAGGTCATGTCTACCAACCCATAGGTAGATACAGCTTACCATCATGAGTACAATTTATCAAAGGGATGAAGTCTGTCGGAAAAAAAAATGAATAATGAGACGAAGAATTTTTGAGACCAATGCTAGTAAGATTATATAATTATTCATAGTACAATTTCTGTGATAATCACAACCCAAATCAAAGCAAAATGTGTAACAATACAAATTAAATTTTGGTCATATAAATAAATACATGATCTATCTTCTTCTTCATTATCATCTTCTTCTTATTCTTCTTCTTCTTCTTCTTCTTCTTCTTCTTCTTCTTCTTCTTCTTCTTCTTCTTCTTCTTCTTCTTCTTCTTCTTCTTCTTCTTCTTCTTCCACCTTTTACCTCAGTGAAGTGTTGGGGGGAGATGTAACATTTGTTGATGAGCTCTGTCAAGAGCACTATTGAGATTGATGATACATGATCCATAAATTTATAAATTAAAATAAACATTTACTCTGAGAACTCAGTTAACACTATATATATCCCAGTTATAACCATGAGGGTTGAACAGGATATTTTTTGAAATATTACTACCTTAACAGCTGAACTTTAAAGAAAGATACAAGCATTAGAAATTCAATGTTTCAGAAAAATTCTTGGTGTATCATACAGAGACCACATTACAAATGAAGAGGTTCAACATAAATTTATACAGCACACTGGCAACTATGAACCTCTTTTAACGACAGTGAAAAGTCAAAAAATGAAATGGTATGGACATGTAATAAGATCTAACGGACTCTCAAAAACAATACTGCAGGGCTCAGTAGAGGGAAAGAGGAGAAGAGGCAGACCAAGAAAGACCTGGTTACAGAACCTGACTGACTGGACAGGCCTCAGGCATGCAACCATGAAGTCCATCGCAACTGACCGCCAAAGGTGGAGAGAGAAATGATCAGACAGTCAACAGAAACTGGTGACCCAGCGACACGTAGTGTTACAGGATGATGATGTTGATGATGAAAAAACATCATTTGAAAGAGGACAGGAGAAGAAGAAGCTACTAAATGTTTGACTGACTGAGACATAGATGTTGCTAGTTTTATTGATATTGATTCTCTCTGAACTGTATATATGCAATTTAAACAGGAGGCAGTAGAGAGAGCACAGTTTGAAATGGTAAATGGTACTTCCTTGTTGGTTTTCTATTTTGCAGAATATGTCACCATTTTGTAGTCTAATTTATGTCTGAGTGTAGTCTTTAGTTTTCTTGTTGAGAGTGTCAGTGGCACTGCAGGAAGATCTTAACAATAGAGTTGAATCACATTTGATGGCTGTTTTGTTAGTGTTCATTCCCCCGTAGTGGCTGCATTAGCGCAGTTGATATGGGACTCATTTTCAAATCCAGCTGCCACTCGCTGCAGCCCACGGCCAGTGTTAAAAACCGGGCAGTTCCCAGGGTTCACCCAGCCTCTAGGAAATGGATACCAGAGTTGACACTCTGTGGTAAATGGAGGAAAGTCGCTGTAGCTACGGAGTTATGTGCAGATGGTGACACAGGCGGACAGTTTCTTATCAGCTGCCCATACTGGTGGCAGAGCACTTATGGTTTATAACCATGTGCAGTGACGCTGGTTCACATCTCCTGACTTTACCTTTTTACCCCATATGGGTTACAGGGTCCCATTTGTGAGGGAAATAAGAATAAACCCAGTGCTCTTTAACAAGCTTCTAATGAATTAAGCATTTGCTGAAAATGATGTGAAATATAAAACAATTTACATTCATCCTATTACAAATTCTTGCATTGCCACTTATACTTTCTTATTTTATGTGGCACATTTATCTATAATTCTTGAAACAGCTTATTGTCAGCTGATTATAATTCTAGAAAAAAGAAATATAGAGCCAAATGAACATTTTCTTTTTGGTGTCACTATAATTGTTGCTGCCACTTGGTATACTTTATATAACTCTTGCTTTTGTGTTAGATATATTTTTTTATACAAGGCATTCATTAAGTCTTTGGGTATGTTAATATTTTATAACCACAGGGATATAAATGGTTAACCTGTGTAGTAAATAGTTGAAAGGTGAATTGTTGCGCTTTTATATGAAACCAAATTCATATACTGAAAATCTACTTTTCTTCTGACTTATTATGTTTGCCTAAATTCAGTTAATCAAAGAACACAGTTGACTTATACTGTATTGGATGCCATGAAAATATGTTACTCTAAACAAGAAGTAGAACTAGTTAGCTTCAAAATATCACAGTCATGTATAATTATTAAATAAACAATAATGATACAGTTACAAACAAGAATATTCAAAATCACTTATCTGTAAGTAGACGTTTGTCACAGAAATATCCATAACACATATGGACAGTAGAAACTCATGAGTCATTTGTAATGCAGGAAGAGGGTAACTGTATTTTCTGTGTTATTCATTTTTTCCCCAATCCCTTTAAACAGTAGCAACAAAATGTAGTAAAACAATTAACGAAAAGGCAGACGCGCTTGCAAATGTATTTGAGAATCTACAGCAGCCCTGCCTCTCTCAGAGGCAAAGACATTGTTAAAACAATCTATGAAAATGAAATCAAACGATGGAAACAAAACACTTACCAGAGCGTGTCAACATAAAAAGGCTGTGCAGAAATACCCAGACCAGAATTTAGATTTAAAACCGGACACTTTGAGCTGAAGGCACACCTCTACTGTATCAGGCTCACTTGCTCTGCCACTTGGGGATGTGAACCATCAAAAAGCAAATCCCAATGTATTTAATACAAAATTTAGCCAGTTAGAGAAATCTGGCCCACATTAGGATCTTGTAGGGTAAATTATTAGGCATTGATAAAAACCTAAAGTGAACAGTCTGGTTTGCATCCCATGTTAGAGCAGATATGTAGCCAATGTTGATTGCTAAATAACGCTGAATCGGTTACAGGGCCCAGTTTGGGGAGAAGAAAAATTGACCCCCTCCCAAACAAGCATGTCACAAAAGGTGACCAGGGGTTTGCTAAAATCTGATGCCTCTGAAGCAGTTTGGGCTGAAAAATATTAGTTTCATTTGTATGCAAAGACATACAAGTGTGCAAGGAAATGAGCAAGCTGACAGGCTTCGAGGTCAAGTTACTGTGGACAGTGGACATACTGTGAATCACGCTGATATTCTGAATGCTGTATAAGAAATAAGATGTTTGTGAGAATTAAATGATGACTGAATCTGCAACCATGACCAGACTGCAAGAATAAAATGTCAGAAGGGGTGTGGCCAGACAAGACTACTATGCAGAAAGCCAAAGAAGAATAAGAAACCAGCATAGATCTGATAAGTTGAAAAGAATCAAGGCCCAAACCTAGTCATCAAATTTGCAACTTAAAAAAAGTGTAGATGAGAATGTATAATTATCTTCATTGTAAGTAAACCATTGCGTAAATATTATTTTGTTTCTTAGTTTGGTGAGGGTTTCATATTTTTATCTGTCTCCATTCTGAAACAAGGATTTTACTCATGTGTCATCATAAATTGTCTAATTATGCTGAAGAGTGGTTTGTTATTAATTATAATTTTCCAGATAAGAAGAAAGGTGGTTTTGGCAGTGCAATTCTGAAAAGATTTGGCCGTAAGAAACGTGCACATAGTGCCGACCGCGCCACATCAAGTATGCGGGAAGGGGATTACCTGCGTCCCCCAGAGCCCTCTTATGGACCTCAGTCTAAAGGTGCAGCACTTAGCCCATCTATTCTTGCTCTTGTTCTGTAGTTTTCTGTGTCTGAAGCATGATTAGTTTTGATTGGTGTAACATTTTGCATCCTTTGTGCAGGGAACATTGGTGATCTAATTCAGTTAGACAACTCAGTGGTTCTTATTGTGTTTTATCTGGGTGTCTAAGCCTTTTGCATGAACAGTATATAGATTGACGACTGTATATAAGTGAATCATATTATCTTTATAGGCTGTTGTTAAAAAAAAACAAGGTAATTGCATATCCTGTACAGGACGTTACAGAACCACACCCATCATTTTTGGCTATTGTGGTTTTTCTTGGCAAATTTTACGATCACTAGTTTGCCATTGCTTCCTGCACGGTCAGCTCTTGGTACCACTGTTGAAACCAAGGTTAGACAAACACAGCTGGGATCAAACCTGGCACCCCGGCATTATAAAGTGCGTTTGCAATGCCTAAGCCACAGGCACTGACTTATGCGCTGTAGGCTGTCTGTTGATACATAGATGGCCGAAGGATTCAGATAACATTGTTTCCATCAGTGCTCCTTTTGCCCCATGCTCTCTGAAGCATGACTAGTTTTTCTACTGTTTGAATTGGTTAAATATTTTGTATCCTTTCTAAATATGCAAGGAACATTGGTTTTCTAATTCAGTTAGACAACTCATTCTGTTTTATATTGTTTATTCTTTGGGTGTCTGAGCTTTTTGCATGCTCTGTATAGTAGTAGATTGGTGACTGTATATAAGCAAGTCCCACAATTCTTGCTGTTATCCTTGTTTCAATCAGTATCCCCCCACCCCACCCCCTCCCCCAAGCTGTAGTTTTCTGTGTTTGAAGCATGACAGGTTTTGCTACTTTTTTGGATTGATGTAATATTTTGCATCCATTGTAAACATGGCAGGAATCATTCTATTTTTATTGGCACCTTTCCGTCTTTCTAGATGATAATGTTATATTGCGCTATGAGGAGGCATGAGACTCACAGCCCATGGTGATGGCGAGTGTGACTAGCAAGACCGGCCCATGTCAAGAAAAGTCTTCAACAATGATAGCATGGGATTTCAGGACCATTGTTAACAACATTTATGTTTAATCCGTTTCTTTTCAAACGCTCAGCTCTCATCCTTTCTGCAATCATTTCTTCCTTCAGTCTCATTCCCTTCCTGATATGCCCTTTCCACACAACATGGTCCGTGGCATTTTGTTCCCATGAGTCCGCCTGAATACCTTTATGGCAGGAATATCTAAAATCTAATTCAATTAGACAACTCAGTGGTTCATATGGTGTATTCTCTGGAGGATTTGAGCTTTGTGATTGCTCATTATAGTAGATTGGTGACTGTATATAAGTGAATCATATGATCTTTATACACTGTATGTTGTCTGTTAACACACTACTGGCCAAAGATTTAAGACTACATTGTTTCCATCAGTGCTGGTTGTGTCCCAAGCTGCAGTTTTCTGTGTTGGAAGCATAATTCGTTTTTTTTCTTTCCTGTTTTGATTGGTTTAAAATGTTGCGTCCTCTGTAAATACACAAGGAACATTGGTGGTCAAATTCAGTGATAGAAAACTCAGTGGTTCATATTGTGAATTCCCTGGATGTCTAAGCTTTTTGCATGCTCATTAAGGTATATTGATGACTGTATTAAAAAAAAAAAAAGCTAGTTTTGTAGCCTTTACAGAACATTGGAGAACCAACCAACGGCATTTTTTGGCTGTTGTGGTTTTTCTAGGCAAATTTACATTTAGTAGTTTGCCATTGCTTTCTGGATGGTCAGCTTCCCAATACCACTTTAAAAACCAATGCAAGGCGCAAAGACTAGTTCTTTGCTAGACTGCTTTACTGTAGAAGTTTATGTGTTAGAAGTTAACGTTTCCTTAAATATTTCTAGTCTCTGGTATTGACATGGTGCTCTTGAGAATGGAATGTTTAAACCTTAAATTTATTGTCTTTGTTTAGTGCGGGCTGCACATATTTAACTCTAAAGAGTTTACATTGTTTGTTCCGTCACTTTGGTGGGCATTTGTCTTTTTGTTTATTGCTTCGCTTACAAGTCACTCTCACTTTAGTTTTTACTGGCTGTATTTACCACAAGAGCCAGGTTGGAGAAGAGGTTAGGAGAGGAGGTCATGAACCTGAGGGTTCAAGGCCTCATGGCTAGTGCAGTTTCCACATATTTGTGCTTCAGACAGAAAAACAAATCTCTCTACCTTTTAATAAAGAACAAACCCATATCCCCCACATGAGAGATGTTGCTCTAACCCTCCCCCCTTTCTCTGTCTAATTCTCTGTCTTCTTATTCTTTAGCTATCGTTTCTCTGATTTCTCTCTCCACCCTTTCACTGTCCCTTCTCTCTTTCTCTCTCCCATCCCTCTCCCCCTTCCAGTATTTTTGTAATCTACCCATGAATATCTTTCTCTCCCCCTCTCCCCCCCCCCCCAAAAAAAAAAAAATCATTCTAGCACCGTGTTATGGCTTAGCTGCACTTTGTAGAGATAAATGGTTCACTGGTCTAGAAATAAACCTGTTTTCTATGCTTAGTTCCTGAGAACTACACATAATAATCTGCATGTTTGTAAGAGAACTAGGCAGTTCTGACTTACAGGTTGATTTGCATGATACATTTTGAATATGATATGGGGAATGTTAGGTTCCGAATGCATACTGAATACAGTACAGATTTCTTTGTATTTGGAAATGGAAACATATATTCTGTAGACTGTAATTGACTACAATCATGCTATATATTAATAAACAAACATAAAAGTTATCAACAGTAAAGGTATTTATAATTTTACAATCTAATATTGAATCGAATTTATGTGAAGGGAAGCCAAGGGGAAACTGCTGTTTTAATTTTCCCAGAATAATTGTTTGAACAGTCATAACGCTGGGTTTAAAAACTGTATAATGATCTTCATGAATACCCCCACTTGATATGACAAGTTATAAAATGTGTAATTTAAAGTTAAAATTATAGTGGCACGGTGGTTATAAAGATATAGTTTGGAAATTGGGTCAAACATGCATTGTTCAAATGTGAATTTAAGGGCCCCATAGGGTAGGGTAGTTGACACTCTGCCCCCAACAAGCATACCATAAAAGGTGACTTTTATGGTTTTGCTAAAATTGAATGTGTTGGGCGGACGGTCACAGATATCACAGCCTAGCTGTAAACTGCAGCACAGTGTGCCAGCTGCCCTTGTATAGGTGAATGCAGAAAAACAAGAGAAAATTAGTATAGTAATATTCAAGATTCTAAAATAGTATATGTATGCTTTATACATATTGTTTTATCATAAGTTTATACTGATATACATGTTGTTTAGTCATAAGGTTATACTAATCTGCATGTTTATCATAATGTTTGTTTACTAATTTCTGGTGTCATATTAATTTTAACAATGCTTACAGTGGTAGTGATTAGTGCATCTGTCTACAGAAACAATCATTATGATGTAGTTCCCAGTACTGAAAGTTTTGATTTTTACCCAAGAAGTACAAGACATTACACTTGAGAAGTCATATATATATATATGTGTGTGTATGTTTGAGTGCATGTGTGCATCATGTGCACGTGCTAGGTTGGGTAGGGATTTTTTCTAGAAAAAAAAAGGATGCTGGTACTTGCTACAAAGGGTCAAAAAGTGCCTGTGCTCACTAAAAAGTGTCAAAGAGTGGTGGTACTCACTACAAAGTGTCAAAGAGCGGTGGTACTCACTACAAAGTGTCAAAGAGTGACAGTACTCCCTACAAAGTGTCAAAGAGTGACAGTACTCCTGACAAAGTGTCAAAAAGTGCCTGTGCTCACTAAAAAGTGTCAAGAGTGGCGGTACTCACTACAAGGTGGCAAAGAGTGGCGGTACTCACTACAAAGTGTCAAAGAGTGGCGGTACTCACTACAAAGTGTCAAAGAGTGGTGGTACTCACTACAAAGTGTCAAAGAGTGGCGGTACTCACTACAAAGTGTCAAAGAGTGGCGGTACTCAGTAAAAAGTGTCAAAGAGTGGTGGTACTCACTACAAAGTGTCAAAGAGTGGCGGTACTCACTAAAAAGTGTCAAGAGTGGCGGTACTCACTACAAGGTGGCAAAGAGTGGCAGTACTCACTACAAATTGACAAAGAGTGGTGGTACTCACTACAAAGTGTCAAAGAGTGGCGGTACTCACTACAAAGTGTCAAAGAGTGGCGGTACTCACTACAAAGTGTCAAAGAGTGGTGGTACTCACTACAAAGTGTCAAAGAGTGGCGGTACTCACTACAAAGTGTCAAAGAGTGGCGGTACTCACTACAAAGTGTCAAAGAGTGGTGGTACTCACTACAAGGTGTGAAAGAGTGGTGGTACTCACTACAAGGTGTGAAAGAGTGGTGGTACTCACTACAAAGTGTCAAAGAGTGGTGGTACTCACTACAAGGTGTGAAAGAGTGGTGGTACTCACTACAAAGTGACAAAGAGTGGTTGTACTCACTACAAAGTGCCAAAGAGTGGCCGTACTCACTACAAGGTGCCAAAGAGTGGCGGTACTCACTACAAAGGGTCAAAAAGTGCCGGTACTCCCTACAAAGTGTCAAAAGGGACCGGTAATCACTACATGGTGTCTATTAGAGTAGTGCTTGAAAATATAATACCATCGCAAACCGCCAAAAAAAGGGGGTTTTTCTCAACACATGAGAGTAACACAGGGTGCTCTCGGTCACAGCTGAGTGGATTCATTTCTTGGTACTAGCTTGACTGAAGACACCCTTATTTTCATCGCTCTTCAAAGATAAGGAGGCCAGCGGGTCTTAGCTAACTGGGAACCACTGGCTTAGAATATATTTATGCTAACTACCCCCATCACGTGATTTGCAGTGGTGTACTGGCTAGGTCAGAAAATATAATGAGAAATGTCAAAAATGACCAGACTTGTGACAGTTATGATCCGCTCAAAATTGGTGGCAACCATATTCTGGAACTCCGCTACGCAGATGACACAGTCCTCCTTTGGGACAGCATAAAGGGAATCGAAAATTTAAAATTGTCTGTCCAAAAGCACAGTGAAGATCAAAATCTGTTCTTGAATTTAAAAAAAAAACGAAAATAATGTCCACAGATAAAACTGGCTGTCACCCAAAAATAACAATAAATTATGAAGAAATTGAAAATGTCACAAAATTTGAATATCTAGGATCTATAATAAACAACAATGGAGATTGTTCAACAGAAATAAAAAGGGGGATGGCCATAGCAATGCAATGATTGAACAGCCTTAAAAGTCTATGGTTAAGCACCAGCAAGGAGATAAAAATTAGAATTTTGAGAGCATGCTTCTTCCCTGTGGCTACATACGGATTTGAGTCGTGGACTATCTCTCAGTCCTTAAGAAAGAGAATAGGGGCTTTTGAGCTGAAATGCTATAGAAAGATTCTCAGAATATCTTGGACAAAAAAGAGGAGAAATATTGACATCTTAAAAGATCTGAACATCAAGGAAGATTGGCTAATAAACAGCATCCTTTCTCGGAAGCTGAAATATTTTGGTCATATCAAGCGCCACAACGGATTGGAAAAAAACTATAGCAGAAGGCATGGTACCAGGAAGGAGGGGCAGGGGCCGACTGACACGAAGATGGGCACAGGATATAAGTGACTACTTGAGTATGAAAGTATATGAGGCAGGAGAACTGGTGAGAGACCGAGTTTCTTTCAGGCAGATTGTGATGAGAGCAATGTTCTGCAAAGGACCTGCTACATGATGATGATGAGTGGCTAGATGTTCGCCTGCAGATCAGAAGGTTGCGGGTGTGGGCCATGACAGAGCTGGGCGTGTTTGTAATGGCATTCTTTCTGAGGTCGACCCAGCCTGGAGTGGTTACCAGGCAGAAGTCCTGGAAACTAAAGGTCCCCGACATGATGCTAGACACATCACCAACCCACGTGCTGATTGGTCTATAAAATATAGTTTCAGATTGTTATGCCCAAAACACCTAACGGTGCAGAAATGTGACCTTTATTTTATTTCCTTTATCCTTATTACACTTTGGCTATAAACACATCTACACAATTAACAGGTAGCATGTCTCTTCATATGCTGCATGTTTACACACAAATTGTTCCCTGATCATTCGTATTATTGAAATTGTGCCAATTTGAATATTGTTCAGTAAATACAGACGTAGAGTTTGTATGTCATAGAATAACAGACCAATTATAAAATAACCAGTCACAGAAAAACTGTAAATTCATTGGGAATTGGTGAAAGTTTTTTTTTTTTCAAAGTGGCAAATAAATAAAATAACATATTTTCACTACATTATACGATATTATCTTTTAATAACACTACATCTTACAGAAAATAAATCAACCAGATCTACATGATTGTTTTTATGCTCAATGGGTTCAAATCTCTCGTTTTCATTCTCTTATCTTAACAGATGATTTGGAGCTTGTGAGGCTGCAGGCACAGGAAGGCTCTACCTCCCCCAACCTGAAGAAGTCAAGAACCCTAGGTGGAAGCCTGAAGAAATTGTTCAGACGGAGCAGAAAACAATCAAAATCACGAGCAGACTCCCGAGAAAGCTCTCTTTCCCGGGGCTCTCGCTCAAAGGGCCCCTCCAGAGACAACTCCCTATCACGACAAAGTCAGAGGGAATCTGAGCAAAGAGAATCATCAATCTCCTGAGACTTGTCACCGAGCTGTGAATGTGTTAGCTAACTGCGTTGACTTCATTTATCTTTTCATAGGTTCAGGTTGTGTGTTTTGTTAACTTATTATTTTGTTAACAGTGTTAAAATACCATGCTGGATGGTTAGAGCCACATTTGACACATCACATGTAATGTGTGTTTGTGTGTATGTCTGTGTGTGCATTTTCACAAGCTCCTATCATTATTTAACTATTAGACATCTTAAACATATTTTTTTGTTTCAAGAAATTTTTTTAATGCAACTTATGAGTGTCATCTATGTATTTTTCTTAGCCTGTTTAACTCTTTAACTACCACAGTTAATAGCTTTCTATGGCTGATTTTTATTTATTTATTTTTTTTTTTAACATTTTCAATTGAAAATGTATTTATTATTTTATCAGGAATTTTGTCTTTTTTTTATAGTTGTGTACTTCTCTTGTGATATCAGCAAATTTTATTAAATTAACCGTTAAAAAAAAACTTTTTTTTTCCTAACTGCCCAAAGTATGGTGCTATCTGCGGCTTTTTGTGGTTAATGGGCTGAGGAACATTTTAATGTAATATATAGACTATCTGTGTGTCTTCTGTTGTTTTGACGTTATTGCATAGATATTGTTTTGCTGGTTCTGTTTTCTCTCTGGCAAGTTTGTCTACTTTATTTGTTTTAACTCTTTCAGTCCTAGACAGTGATTATTTTTATACTGTGCTGTCTCAAAGTGTGTGCACGTTGAAGTAACAGTCCTAGCCTGAAGGAGTTGAAATTATACAAATAAGAGACACAATAAGTTAAAGTAACAGCTAGGAGATAGTAGCTGAGGAATTACCACAGAGGAAGTTGAGAAAATGTGCAAAATGAAGGGACAAAAATAAACACATAATGTTGCCTGTTAATAAAAGAGTTAATGCCCCCCCCCCCCCTTCCACCCCCACAGGTTTTTTAATTGTAAAATGTAAGGATATTAACATGGAAATACAATTCAAAAGCAAAACTAAATAAAATAAATTTTTTTCTTGAAAATAAAGCATCATAGATTTTGTGTAAATAACATGTTTAAGTATACAGAATAAAAATCGACACATTTTATATATATGCATATAAAAGATAATATATTGCTATGATAATGCTGTAAATTACAACTAATACTCCTGCTATAATTCTAGAATGCCTTAGATATAGAAGGAAGAAATACTGATCAGTGGAAAAAGGAGTAGAGGCAGACCAAGAGAGATGATGCTGGATGGGCTGAAACGATGACATGGAGGGAAATCACCAAGAAAGCTGTTCCAAGCAACCAGGGATCGTAATCTGTTGGCAGGGCACATGATGATGATAGCATAAGTTTTATTTACACATACGAAATTCTTTTGAGAGGAGCTGTGCATATGGACATTACATTCTGCAGCGAATGGATATATCTCTAGATGAGTGTTTCATGCATACATCACATTTCAACAACAGTTTTAGCTGTCAGAGAATCATTGTACAGACATCTCAAAACTGACAGTGGATATGAACGGAGTGCACATGGGAATATGAACGGAGTCCACATGGGAATATGAACGGAGTGCACATGGGAATATGAACGGAGTGCACATGGGAATATGAAGGGAGTGCACATGGGAATATCCGGAGGCTGTGACGTCAGGTCTCAAAACTCAGTCTAGTTTAACTCATAGCTGAAAGTTTCTTTTTATATAAAAATCCAGACTAAATCTTCAGACAAAAGATAGAATTATTCACCAAATTAGATAAATTCTCATACCTTAAGGTCATGTTTGTTTGTCCGATAAGTAGTACTTAGTGTTTTTTTTTTAAATTCTTTTGCATCTTATAGTTACTATAATGTGTTTGTTTCAAATGTTCATTTTGTGAGTGATATTCTACCTAAAAAAAAAAAAAAAAAGATGGATTTTATTTGTATGCATTTAAAAAAAAAACAATTCTGCTTAGCACATGTACCTGAATATCCAGCTAGACTAGCTGATTGGTAGTATTGTTTCTTCAAAATTGAAATAATCCCTGTATAAGTTCTTGGGCCCCACTCTTTAAAAACAACAATGTAATACGATTTAATATCCTTTTGTTGTGCTGCAAGTTCCATTGCTATATAAACTGTCTTGTACGCTTTTTATTTATTTTGATCTTGTTGTTTTTAGACAGTGACTGATTTTAGCAGATTTTGTAGGGCATAAGTATACTTAATTTCCAGATTGTATTCTTTATTGTATTTTTTCCTTCTAGTATGTTAGAGCAGTTTAAATGGACATTTGATTTTCATATATTAAAAGCTCAGACCTGGTTTAATATATACATACACATACATGTTGCTATTGCTCATATGTTTTTCCCTTGCAGAATTTTCTAAAGCACCCAGTAGTTTCAACCCTCAAAATCTTCCACCCACTACTGTTATTAGTTTGGTTTTAACTTTGGCTTACCACACAAGAAAGACACAGCTGCTGATCATGCTACCATGGCAACTGTAGTAAAGACTTTACATATTTACTGTATGGTGGTAGTAAAAAAGCTGTATGTTCCTACAGAGATGTGAACCTAATTAATAGCATACTTAGTTTGTATGCCAGATGCAGTCCTGATTGTTTACCAAATCATAGTATCCATGATAGCTTTTTCCTCTACTAATGTAGTTCTCATTAAAATACTCAAAGCTGTTTTGACAATTAACTTCTAGTGTGCTTAAAAGCTGCCTTAACATTTTTTTAATTTTTTTACAAACTCATTTTTGGGAGTACATTACATTTAGAAATCTATATTTTATAAATAATAATCACTTTAGATTGATTTTTAGCAGAATAATTCATTACCTTTGAACTGGCAGAATATTTTAAGATGACCTAAGTAACAACATAAGTGCAGAAGTGGTTGTGACCCTTGTCTAGAGTTTTCGACATTTAGAGAAAGAAAGATGTGTCTGTCCCATCTTTTCCCATATCTTGTCAAGGCACACCACATTTTGAGGGTGGTTGGAACTATGTCTGTGCCTCGTACATTTCACACCAACTTCTGTGTTTGAATTAAATGTATCGTTTTATTTAGACATATGTTGACTTGATTTCCTGTGTTGTTGCTGTAGGGTCGGACTTTAATATGTTTTTTTTTATAATTTTAGTTTATGTCTTAGCAAAGTTTCTTTATTGTATACTTAAATTTTTGTTGTGTGTGGTTGAGTTTTGTTTGTTTGTTTGTTGTTGTAGAAACTTTTAAAGAATTTGAGAATTGGATGCAGAATTATTCTAAATGAGTTTTTCAATTTCTTTTAAAGGATAAGGGTTAATTATGTCAGTGGTTTTCACAACTATATTGATATTATCAGTTAATAACACACACACACATACATGCATACTTATACACAAAGCCCACACACACACGCACACACACACATATAAAGAGAGAGAAAGAGTTCAGTGTGGTATAGCGGCTAGGTGCTCGTCTGTAGATTGGAAGGGTGTGGATTTGGGTCCTGACAAAGCCTAACCGTTTTTTTTAAAATGACCTTTGCTTCCAGGATGACCCATCCTTGAGTGGGTTCCAGATGTAGTCCTGGGAAGTAAAGGCAGCAGACGTGATGCTCGACACATCACCCACCAATCGTCAGTTGGTCTATCAAATATAGGTCTAGACCTTAATGCCTAATTCACCTAAAGGTGTGAAAAAGGGTCTTTTACTTTTGTATATATATATATATACTGACATATACTTTTGTATATATATATATACACTGACATATATATATATATATATATATATATATATATATTTAAACACATACACATACACACTCACACATATACATACATACATACATACATACATACATACATACATACATACATACATACATACATACATACATACATACATACATACATACATACATACATACATACATACATACATACATACATACATACATACATACATACATACATACATACATACATACATACATACATACATACATACATACATACATACATACATACATACATACATACATACATACATACATACATACATACATACATACATACATACATACATACATACATACATACATACATACATACATACATACATACATACATACATACATACATACATACATACATACATACATACATACATACATACATACTTACATACATAGGCAAATTCCTACCCATACTGGACAGCAGGGTATTCCAGACTGATATTAGTTGTAGCCATTTTGTGTGCCCTAATTATAACTTCATAGGAGGTTAAACCAGGTATTTGGGTTTTTTACTGCCACCCATAATGCTTATTTTTAAGTCACAGGGTCAGTCTAGCCTTCATGTAGCAACCCGGGGGGGGGGGGGGGGGGGGGGGGGGGGATTTGTATATAAAATCCTCAATCAGGGTAAAATGAAATGAGTTTTATTTATCCTGCAATGAAAGCTTGGGAAAATCAGCTCAAAATTCTGATAACCTTTTCTTAAGAGTTAATTAATTTTGCGTGTTTGAGTTTATTTTTTTTTATTATACTCTTTCTCTTAATAAGAAATGCATCTATGTTTATTATTTTGTTATTAAACTATTTTTCTTGATAAGAAATTAATTTACTAAACTGTAAATAAGAAGCTTAACAAAGGTCGGAAGGGGTAAATCACACACGGGAACAGTTAAGGTAATGAGCGAGCTGACCAACTGGCAAGCAAATCACCAACGCATGTGGGAAGAAGCATAGACAGAGCAGATATCATCAACGATGAACAGACTGGGCTAGTGGATAATGACAAATCTCTGACACTAACACGATTGTGTGACATGGGAGTAAAGCATGGTGAAGCACGTTTATGCCACTTTTAAGGCAGAAATTGGGGACATTATAACCAACCTTTCATGGGAACAGTAAGTAGAAGTACCTTGGAGTGGCAGCTGCATCGGAGGACTGACCAGGCAGTGATGCTGATGTGTGATAACATAACTTAAGTTTAATGTTTAAGCAACAGC